AAAGTCTTTATCTTAAGAACCTCTAATAGTATCCATCATGTTCACTACACGATACTTGAGAAGTATATTATTACTAAAAATCTGCGCTTCCACTAAAACTTGTGAAATACGATGTAGATCTATAAATCCAAGTTAATTATCTTATGCTCTATAGTTTTCTATTAACTTCTTGATACAGTAACTAAATACATGCCAAGTATTTTGTCAAGTCTTCCCGAAGTAACTGCTAAGTTAACGTTTTTGTGTAATCACGTTTTTCAGTATTAAATCAACTAATCACTACTCAATACTTGACGAGTATATTGTACACTACCATTTCCACTTACCATTGCATTTATAAGGTATTACAAGGTAGATGTATACAATTATATGGGTGTAAGTTAGTTAACTCATGTTGAGGCTTTTATTTTATAAACGTATTGATACAGCAACTAAGTACCTGCTAAAAAGATATATAAGTATTTTTTTTATGCATTTTAACAAAATCAATAATTCACTACTAGATACTTGTCAAGTAAATTATTCATAATCATTTCCGCTTCCAGAAGTAACTGCTAAGTTAACGTTTTATGTAATCACATGTTTTTCAATATTAAATCTAATAATCACTACTCGATACTTGACGAGTAAATTGTACCCAATCATTTTCACTTACCAAAGCATTCATAAGGTATTACAAGGTAGATATATACAATTATTTGGTTGTAAGTTAGTTAACTCATGTTGAGGCTTTTATTTTATAAACGTATTGATGCAGCAACTAAATACTTGCCAAGTATCAAATATTCCCTAAGTACCTGCTAAAAAGTTATATAAGTAATTTTTTATGCATTTAACAAAATCAATAATTCAGTACTTGATACTTGCCAAGTAAATTATTCACAATCATTTCCGATTACAGCAGTATTTGCAAAGTATTCCAATTAGATAGAAATTGTTCGGTTTGGTTAGTTCTTTATCCCAAATTACAACCAATTAGAGAATTAAAAAATAAATACTTGTCAATTACATGCCCAAGTATTAGCTCTATAAAATCCAAATCATAATGCAAATACAATATATTCACTTAATATGGATTATCAAGAAAGTCTATCGACCGAAGTATTTCCGCTCTGGATTAACGATTAAACAATTTAACAAACATTTATGTAAACGAATTGTTAATGTGTATAATTAACAATAACGATGATTGCGCGTTTTGAGCGATGATAATTAAACATTGCATTTTCGTGTCTGTAATGGGGGAGACACAGCGAACAGGCTGAATTCGAAGCAGACGATGATTTCTGACCTGCGCCGCGATGTCTGTAATTAAGTTTAATTATCTGTTAACTTAATTAAACCTAAATCAATTGCCGGAAACAAACGGTCCACTTGCCATCCAGCTTTCAACTTCGATGTTGCACAAAGTAATTGACATGGAAACAGTTAATAACCTTATAATTACCTATCAGTTTCCAATTACTATTTAATAATTATATAATAGGTAGAAATTTATATTTATTTTTGTAATTCTGAGAAATTTTTGGAAATAAGTTTAAATTTTTGTTATTTCAAATTTGTTAGAATAATTGAAGGAAATTGCTGTATTTGTTGGCCGTTTTCAGTTTAACAGTAATTGGTACTGTTTGATGAGTTTTTCTTTATACGAAATGCAATAAACGAAGTTTTATGTTACCGCAATAAAAAAAAGTATATAACGTAACGGGTGCAGATTCGAAGTGCGTGTATTCCCTAATTACATAATTCCATGGTTTATGGTCAACTGTAAAGCGTTCGTAATGAAGAGCGTTTAAAGATAACAATTTAACAAGAACAACAGTTATAAGCTTTTTGTTTTACAACATTATCAAGAAACATTAATTAATCAATCATTTCATAAAAAGTAAATAAATTTCTTTAATTATTAATAATAATTACATCATTTTATATTATAAATATATATCGTCTTTTCTTACGAACTAGTTCCGTTCCAAAGGGTTGTTCGTAATTCGAATTTTACCACATTTTATCATGGTTTTTACTTTTATATATGTTAAATTTCGTATTACTGACTGCATAAATTTCAATAAATAGATTACAATAAATAAATAGAGCTTTTAGAATATTGTTCGTAAATCCGGGAGTTCGCAAGTCGGGGGATACATGTATTCGGTATACGCGTTTGTTTTATGTTGAGTTTTGTCCTGCGGCGCCAGAATTCTGTCGGCTTAAATTGTTAATTTTTGTTTTCGCTGTAGTAATTAAAATTGACTGATGGGCTTCTCAGGAAGATGGGGCTGAAGTTGCGTGATTAATTAAGTAGACCGGGCGAAACAATGCGCGAGGGACGCGGATGTAGACGTACCTAAATTTTGTATATTATTCGTTGTTATGTAACAAAACTATGCGAATACTCATTCATATATCTACATTTACTATATACGTATATGTATATGGACTGGTTGGGTTGTTTGGAGTAGTGCTATAATTAGCAAGTTTCATTCCGTCCTCCACTTTATTAAGTTTAATCATTTTGACGATGAGATATTCTGCTACTTCCTATTATATACGTATATAATTGTATTATAAAATATGTATTAAATTTTAAACTCCACTTTCATTTCAGTTGAAACTTTTCGCGCTGAACACAAAATCGCATCCCGAAAAACATGTTTTTCGTGGATCAACACAACCTGATAAAATATTTTTTTTTATTGTAACTACAAAACAATTAAGGAGTAATTTTGAACATTTAATTGCAATTAGCTACAAGCCACGATGTCCCAACACATTGAATACGATGCTAATAAATTATACAAATATCATCGTAATTGTTATTTTCATTCATAAAATGAAAACTTATTTCTCACAATTTATTTCTGGTAATAAATATTGTTAGAATAAGATGGAAATAAGTACATTTACTAATTATTCATTGATTAAAACTAATGTTAAAATTTTCTAAGCATTTAGAAACAATTAACTACACTAAATAAGAAATTTGTATATTCTTATTTTCAAACTAAATTTTCATTCAATTTTAATACCTTCAATAATATATAATTAAAAATTGATTGGCAGAAATATTTTTATTTAAATAAGAATTGTTTTTATAATAAACAAATCATTTTCAAACGATTAATTTTCTTTCCATTCATTGAAGTTAAAAATATGTTTAAATACATTCTTTTATCAGAATTTTGAAGTTCTCATTCATTAGTTTTCTAAATAAACATTTCACTAATAAAATTGAACCAAATCTTTACTATTTTAAATTGTATAATCACGAAATTGAAGTTAGTTTTATGAAAATTAATATTCAAATATAAATAACAATTGTTTTTTTTTTGTTGTTGTTAGTATACAAATATTAATTGCTTTTATCAAATTTCAACAATTATTAATTAAAATAATATTGCCTACAACAAAATGCATTTAATTAAATCCAATTTTCGCTGTTCCGTTTTATTACAATGTACAAAATTATGTTGATTTTGTCGTGCAAGAATTAATAATTGTTAATTGCATTTCACCTGTTATTGTTTCATTTGCGAAATTCGTCAGGTTTCGCGGTTTCATAAAACGAATAAGTGTTATTGTTACGTAATTAACGGCAAATTTTATCGGAAAAAAATAATAGAAACAACATTTAATTTGCTTCAGATCGTTAAAATTGTTACTCCGTTTGCGATTATTAGTTAAAAAGCGAACATGCGATTTAATTATTTCTTAAGTTAAAACCTTTAACGAGCACGTACGTAAACTAATTTATTTTTATCTGATTTGAAATTATGTAATGGTAAAATAGTGATTTTTTTTCATGTGAATTTGTCGTTGCACCATGTATGATTCATATAATGTGTACATAAGTGAATTTATATGTTGAACGGTGAAAAACATTTTTAAATGATGGTAATTATATAATGGAAGAAAAAATAGATCGATTTTAGCACCATCTATGATTCATATTGTTATTATGTTACTTTTACTTAGACATAAATATCTATAAATACATAATTTTTTTTATAAGGGTTGATCATGCCATCTATGATTCACTATGATGCATATTAAGTAAATATGTATTTATGTGTATGAACTGTATTTATTGTATTGTGTGGATATTTATGTATTTCTGGGGGTGGTTGAACTTAGTGAGAGAAAGAAAAAAAGCGGGAAAGTTGTCGGTTCGTAATGAATAAGTTAAGGGCTTCAATTTGAATGATAATGTGGTTGGGCGCGCGCAGAGTTTCATAAATAAGTGCATGTTTTTAATATCGGAATCTGGAATAATCGATGCTCTATTAGCATACAATTTTAACGGCAGGCGTCGTGGTAAAAGTAAATAAATAGAATGGAAAGCAAGCGGCAAGATAGTCGCCGTTAGCTATCGTCGGGAATCGTAACACAAGATCAGAAAAAGTAATAACAAGAAATGTAAATTCTGTATTCTTATAATTGATAAACAAACAATTGTATAGATTTTGTTGTGTTAAAGTTATGATTAAGCTAAATGACTATTTTTGAATAACTTAGTAAATCCGATAGGAATATGTAAAGTTTGAAGTTTAGTTTGGTAAACAGTAAAAAGGTGGCTGAAATATATTTGTAATAATAAGAAAAAACGTTTTAAAAACTACATGCATACTTTGTGTGGGATAAATCTTTATAAATTTGTAATTGATTTATGAAAGCAAGATTCTATTAAATACTTGTCAAGTATATGTACTTTTTAACTTTTATAACTACAAAAAGTGAGTTGACATTGATAAAGTATGAAATGTTTAAGACATTTGTATTTTAACATCTTCACTGAATTTATTCCATTTTTTTATAAACGAAGATTTCTTAATATCCTTATTGATTGTTATAATCAGGTTAGAATTGAATATGATTGTTGCAATATTCTCATTTATTATAATAGGTATAGTGTTTTCAATAATCGTTAAGAACTTGATTATTATTCAATCAAAAAGGGCTTTAAATATATTATATTTTAATGAATGTTGTTTTTGTTGCAGATTCTCCAACGTGTAGATATGATAGGATTGTTGTCGTCGGTGCTTCCAGAGGAGAGAGTATAGACATCCTCTGCGAGATCGAGTCCGATCCTCCGGCAAAGAGTTACAGGTGGAAGTTCAACAATTCGGGCGAAACGTTGGACGTTGCCGCGGAAAGATTTGCGAAGACTAGTAACGGCACTATGAGCGTGCTGAGGTACACTCCCGTCTCCGAACTGGATTACGGCTCGTTATCCTGCTGGGCGTCCAATTCCGTGGGCCATCAGTTGAATCCTTGCGTTTTCCAAGTCGTCGCCGCAGGTGAAACTAATTTCCGACGCGCCGCTTCTATGCACGCCCCCGCACTTACTCACCCTCGCTTTAACATTCCGACTTTCCTTCCAGGCAAGCCGTTCCCCGTGAAGAACTGCACTTTGTCGAACCAAACGAGCAGCTCGGTGGACGTGTACTGCCTACCCGGATTCGACGGTGGCCTTCCGCAGCATTTCCTGCTGGAACTGTACTCGCCGAATTCCGCCGTTCCCCGTTTCAACATCACCTCTCTGGATGAGCCCTACTTCTTCCTGGACAACCTCGAACCGGATGTGACGTTCAGGATTGTGGTCTTTGCAGCGAACGCGAAAGGACGGAGCAACGGCGTCGTTCTCGAGGAAGTCACCTTCAAGGATGCGGAGAAACGTACAGGTCTGGAACTAATGCCGACGCGTTTTTGAATTAGCAGAAAGCCACGAATACCCAACCACCCATCCAACAGAAGCAATTTAAAAATGTCACATTCTGAGCGCCAGATGTACTTTTGTGCGGGCGACGTGTCTATGCCGGATAGCAGCTAGCCCTGCTGCGATACGATCTTCCCTTTTGCCCCCTAACACTACCCTCTTGCACTACAGAAAACGTAATAGCACAGAAGTCACGTCGGCGGTGATATGTCTCTGTCCGTTGATAAGACCCACACAATACCGTCACTCAAATGTCACAACTCGCCACTTTTTACACCAACCAACCTGTCTCAAATACTTTCCTTAAACTATCAGACGTCAATGTCCAACCGGAAACTTAATTAAATCTCAAAACATGTTTACTTCATCATTTCCAATATTCTTCATTCCACAGAAATATCATTAACATCAGCAAGTCACTTCTACTATTGGTATTAAACGTTAATTACATTTCTATAAAAGCTTCACCTTGAAGTTTACATCAAAATCACTAAAGAGGAGAACCGATTTACCGATTAAAGCCAGGATTAGAAAGTTGTATGAGCTAATGGATACTGAATATTATAGTGGTCACGCTGTGTATATGTGTATGTATATATATATAATGCAGTGGGTTATAATCTATAGATTTTCCGGTTCATCGGAGCACGAAATTTCCTGATACCATTGACACCGTTTAATCTTATGATATACCATAACCTTTACCACTCTTACCGTCGAATCCCATTTATATCTTATGTCAGCTTATCGACAGGATATTTGCATTATGCGGTTTGCACGATGAGAAGTGAGGTGGAGGCGGCAGGAAAGGCGTGAGAGTGCTGGGCGTGTGCGCGCTTCCTGTACGGTCATCCATCTTTCAATTGAATGAAATTGACATCCGGTGGAATTGAATGGAATTCGGATATAATAGTTCGGCTGCGATAAGAGATAGAGAGAGAGAGAAGGTTGGGGGGGTAGTAAAGAGAAAGGAGTGAGTCGATTGCGAGGGATGAAGCGTGGGCGGAGATGTCGACGGGGTGGACGTAGGAGGCTTGTTAATTGTCCTGACACCCTCTTCAGGGATTTCCTCTGCACTCGCGATGCTCCTCTGTCATCCTAGAACCGCAAATCCTCAACTCGAGGCAAGAGGCAAAAACGACGAGTCACTACACATCCCCTCTCACGACTATTTGCCTTTTTGCTTCCATCACTGTTCATTACAATAATGTTTAATAATTACCTCACGAATATTAATATTTCCTATAGCAATTAGTGAAACGATTATTAACACATCCAGTGTTAAGAATTTCAAATTCAGTTATTAAACATTTTTATGATTTAATATTTAATGCATAACACATTTACAATATTTCAGAACGATTTAAGACAAATTGTATTAACTCAAAATATTTTGAATTGAAATTCCTTTATAAACACAAGCTAATGAAAGCATTTCTAATATAATTATAAAGTTGCATTAATTAGGTTTGAATATAATTAACTTCAACTAATTTTATGCTAAAAATCATTCCTGTGGACAAAATTTAATTTGCATGGATTTAAAATACGAAATAAAACATATTTTTCCGTTCATCTAATTGTCCTTAATTGCGATGTTATTGCTTACATGTTGTTTCCTTCATTCTCTTCATTTTACTTCTTTTTTTTTTGAAGTGCGACCGTCGGAAAATCGCGAACGTATTTTCAATTGCGAAAGATTATAGTGGTGAGGGAGGAAATATTAAATTTGGAAAGGAGTAATTGGGGTGAACGGAAAATTGGAGCATGGAAAGTGGTCCGCCAATAAAGGAGTGGCGACGGCAGGGATTTTCCGTGCGGCCATTCCAGATTACAGTGATTGGATTGCGCTAGACTATCTCTGTAATATATTTTCTTTTTTTTTCCTTTCTTCTACTACTTCTTTCCTCTTTTTATATATACATATATAGATATAACTGTGTATGGTTATATACGTCGTGCGGCCAATATTTCCACTTATCTCCGCTGATTTTCCATTTTACGACAACATTGATTTCCCGGCCAGACAACAATTTTTACTTCACGACAGGTTTACAGCTTATCTCCGGCTTTTAACCCTCATCGAATACAATTCAACTGCACTTTGTAATTGTATCTTTCACGTACAATAAATGGGATTTCTAAATACGATTTACACCATCATCTTTACAAAATACTTTCTAACTATATATAACACGTGTAAATGCGTAATATTCTTCTATTAAATTCTTCAATAACATTTTAATATCATTAAATGATTAATTTATTACTAATTTAACCCGTAACTAATACGGACAGATAGATTAAACACACCTACTAGATATGGGTCAAAATGACCCAATTATTAAATATTAAAAAAGTAAACTAATTATTAATTTTTACCACAAACACAGGCTAATTCTCATTATTTCAATACTTTCAGAAAATCCATAAAATATTAATTTTACTTTCCATAATAATAACTTTCATTAATGCAAAAATTTTAACTTTTTCTTATTTATGAAATATGAAACACATTTTTAGAAATTGTTATTGCACAAGGTTCCAAATGGAAATATTTTTGGTAAAATTAAAAAAAATTAATATATTCTCTTTATAAAAACTTTGCATTTTGTATTATAAATAATAAAAACTACATTTATTATGAAAGAAAGCTCAATATTAGATGTTGATTTTTATATAACATCAATTCTTTATAATAATTAAGTATGATACATTTTTTGAAATTGTGGATGCGCCGGGTAGAGTGAGACAAGATTTGTAATAAAAATATGTTTTCCATTTACAAAATGTTCATTTTTTATTATTATTTATAACAAATAATTATATAACTGCAAATTATTAAATGCAATTTATTGATAAAATTAAAGTTAATATTCAATAAATTTATACCAAAAAAAATAAAAATTTCACAATTATTCAAATTATAAATTTATTTATTATATAAATACAATACAAGTGCACTTTACATATAAGTTATAAAATTAAGATGACTCTGATTTCGACAAATTTGTAGAACTGAATTCTTTAGAATTTCAAAAAAAAATATTCCATTTGTATCAAAGTATATAGAAAATTCCCAGAAATAGTGATTTGTGCAGGGTACAAATATTCTCATAACAATATCAAAGCACAATAACGAAAAGGTTTTTGATGTGCTGGCACGTAGTGATTATAAAGCGTCGGCCGTATTATAAATTAGATTCTTTTGAAATATCGAGTTTCGTAGTGTCGCGTTTAGTGCTGCACGCGGAGAATAGGCTCTTATGCAATTGTAGGAGGAAGAGGAAGCCGCCTGGCTTTTGGTGGGCGATTGAGTGTGTATGAGAGAGAGAGAGAGAGAGAGAGTGAAGAGAGGTGTGCGGGTGGCGGTAGGGGATTAATCAATAGATGCACTATTCATGTAACATATTAGCATTTTAAAAAGTCGACCGCGCACTTCGCGAGGAGCCGCAATTTTATCGCGGCAAACCTCCTGTTCCCGTTTTGTTGATGTTACATTATTCAGAATATCGGAGAGGATAGATGGGACAGAGACGGTGCGAAAAGAAAGCATAGGGTGGGAAGAGCTAATACCAAATCGTGTTTGCGTAGGACTCTGTTTTTTCTGGATACGGTTCCAATTTTTACGTTCCTGAAACCCATCAATATTAATTTTTCAGTAGCTCATTTAATTTACCGCCCAGCGCAGAAAAGAAGAGAAGGTAGGAAGAGGGTTTGAGGAAGGGCGGTAACTGATTAATCATTACATTATAGTTTGGCTTGTAGAGCTTTAGACGCACAATGGATGAAAAAGTCATCCTGCGGCCTCCTCTCTATTATAAACACCGCTCTCTTCATCCTCGTACCCATTTGGCCTACTTTGGGTGAGGGTCTTTTGGGGGATGCCTTTGTTGTAATAAAAGCCTCGCGGTATGTTTTTGGGCTATTAATGAGGCTCTTCCACCTCTGGAGATCATCAGCCCTTTTATTAAAAGCCCTGTCTTCCTCAACACACTTATATACCTCATCTGCACGCACACAGATTATTACCTAAATATAAATTCTACATCAACAACCATTACTCAACTGCATTCAATTCTTTATATAACAAGATAAATTATACATTAACAATAAAATTTAAAAAAAAAATACATAATTACTATATCTTTTAATTATTTATCGAACAATTAATTATTACTTTATATTACGTAATAATAAATATTAAGTAACTTTACAAAAGTGACATCTATGAAATGAATTATATAGTAATAGTCACGTTTATTGCAATAGTGATACAAAAGTGAACAAAAATAATTATTTATTAATTTCCAAAGATTGAAAAAATTATCAATTTTATCCAAATAAAACCTCCGTATTGAAATATTTCTTATAAAAAAAAAATGAATTATAGCAATTCCTCGCACAGTGCGGCTTCAAATAATCCGGATTCATATTTAATTGCCAAAATAAAAAATAAATTGTAACAAAATTTATATTTAAAAACATAAGTATTTTTCTATTTATTTAAATCTCTTTTTGTACGGTTTATTTTAATACGGTTCTAAAGTCCGCGATTAGTCCGGTTTGCTGTAATTACAAGATTACGTAATAAAACTATAATTACAGCAATTTCTCGCATAGTGCGGCTTCAATTAACCCGGATTCACTATAGTCCGGTTTGAAAATTTCAATTTGTCAATAATTTTTTTCCTTTTTAATGAAATATTTCTTATCAAAAAACATGAATTACAGCAATTCCTCGCATAGTGCGGCTTCAAATAATCCGGATTCACTATAATCCGGTTTCAAATTTTGATTCTTATTTAATTGCCTAAATAAAAAAATAAATTCTAACAAAATTTAAATTAAGAAACATAAGTATTTTTCTATTTATTTAAATCTCTAGTTGTACGGTTTATTTTAATACGGTTCTAAAGTCCTCGATTAGTCCGGTTTGCTGTAATTACAAGATTAGGTAATAAAACTATAATTACAGTAATTTCTCGCATAGTGCGGCTTCAATTAACCCGGATTCACTATAGTCCGGTTTGAAATTATCAATTCGTCAACATTTTTTTTCCTTTTTATTTAAATATCTTTGTATGCGATTTATTTTCATATGGTTGTAAAGTCCTCGATTAGTGTAATTACAAGATTAGGTAATACATCTTTTATAGAAGTGTATAACCATGATGACTATAGTTTTGGTATAAATATATAGTAATTGTTATAGTTAATTAAATGAAAATTTTGTACTATGTTCTAGCATCTGATGGTGAATTGCCGATTTCTCCGATAATTGGAATCATAATTGGAACGGCTCTGACAATAATAGTCATGATGTTGGTGATTATCGTAGTTCGAAGATCCGAGAAACAAACGGAAGGCGGATTGGATCAGAAGGTGATCGGCGGACAGAACCTCGGCTTATCCTCAACCAAACCACTGTTAAGAAGTGCTTCACCGCGAGATGGAATCGACGAAAGAGACCCGGACATCATACCTGCAAAATACGGTAAAATTGCACCAAACATGATCGCACGGAAACTATCCTCACCTGAGACCCATTTACAGGATCACCTGATGCCGAAAGCGAAAGACAATTGGGAATGCCGTCCAGAGGTTTGATAGCATCTCCGAGTTACGGACAGACCGCCGCTTCTTCTGCTCCAGCTAATATAACGACGAGCGCTGCTCCTCATTGGGTGAGCATCTCATCTGGTGCACCGGCTTTGGAGAACGACCCAGTAAGTGATTGAATCTGCTATATTTTTTTTTTCATCCTTCCATTTTCCCTCTCTTCTCTTGCAGTATCACCAGTACAACAATCCCGTCGCTATGGTTGGAACGTTTCCCAGGGAAACCCGCCCGAAGGACCTGCGACTCGGAAACGGAAGCTCCGCGACTATGACTAGGGCCACGCAGCAGACCGACCTCGAACTCAATGGATTAGCCATTAAGGAACGACTCATGGCTAATCGGCTGCCCGAGAGTTGCGTATAAAAGTGTTCCCCTTTTCCATTCTCTCACTTTTTCTCTACTTCTATATTTTGTTTCACTTCTGTTTCTCCCCCCTTACCACACTTTACTACCAACCCTTAATTCAACCATCATCCCGCTCCGCTCTTTATTTCCACCGTCCAAACGCTACAACATTTATTATTATTATTGCATTAACCTTAACCTAACCATCCCCCATATCTACACCGACTAAATGAAAAACAAAACACTCTCACACAAAGGGATGAATTTCTTGCATGTACATTTGACGACTGGTAGTTTGTACATACGTTATATTTACTGTTACGATAAGTGTTCCTTTTTTCTCTTACTCTTTTATTTTATTTCGATTTTTTTCCATTACGATTTCAACACAAAACGAATGGACAATCTTCGTGAACCAGACGACAAGAATAACTAATAATTAAATAAATACAAAACACACACAAACCAGAAACATCTTAACTTAATTAATTAAGCAAAACTAATATCTATAACAAATAAATTAAGTAAGCATACGATTCATATATTGTTAAAAAAAACAACTCTATATATATATTATATATTAAAGCAAATGTACGACTATTGAATATATGAACAAATGCAGCGTAAGAATCAAAGCTTTCACACATGAAAAAAAAAACAAACGAAAATTTAAAAACATGTTTTCCAAAAAAATTATAAATTCCGCACCATAAATTTATTAAAATGATTTACGCCCTTGTTTCAGTCGCATATTTTACACGGTATTCGTTTTTTTTTTTTCGCGTATTTTGTTGGGTATAAATTGCATTCGAAATAAAGAGTGAATTCGAAAATATTGCTTTCAATGTTTGACGATATAATCAACAGCGCGATGGATTTTTCAACCCAACGAATTTTTGTTTTTCTTTTTTTTTTGCAGGGTGCATATTATTTATTTCGCTCTTTTTTTAGCGCTGCGCAATTTTTTGTTTTGTTCGTTCTTTTTTTTTTGTAAATAATTTCCCCAGTGTCCTGAATATCGTGCGTAAATCATCGATAATCCTGGCGATAACTGCAACTACGCGATTTTAATGCAAAGCAGTATTACGAATCAATAGGAAAACAAAAGCATATGAGCAAAAAATAAGTTTGTAACATTCAGTTTTTTTTTTTCAAATCAATTACGAAAAAATATTGAAAATTTCATAATATCAAAACATGTCATTCGATGAAAATATAAAAAGTAAAAGAAATCACAAAGATTATAAAATTTTATGAATTTCTTCAAGTATTTTCAACAAATTTGAGATTTAAGTAAAAAGAAATCTACAAAATAAATTTTCATTGGAAAACTTGTTTTTTTTTTGTACATTTAATTCAAATTTACTAAAAAGAAAGCTTTGGTTTCTGCAATATTTAAAGCATTTGAAAATGTTCAATAGTCATAATTATAATAAAAAAAATTGTAAATACATAAATAAATATTAAATATAAAAGTTAAGGAAACGGGGATTCAACTCCTCAAATACTTTCTGTAGATAAAACTATGAACAAACAAAAAAAAACAAAAAGAAAACATGTCTGTACATAAATAATTGTTGTCTATATGTTTAAAAGCCATAACCGTTTGCGTTATTTTTTGTTTTTTTTTCTATAGAAAAACAAATGAACTTCGTTTTCTCTTTCTCTCTATCTAACTAAATCTTAGGTGATACTCTTAACATTTAACATATCTCCATTGAAACGATGTATATCTCTATCTCTCTCTCTTACCATATCGCTTTCACATATGATTTCGAAACATATCTCAAATAAACAAATTAATATCATCCTAACTAATCCTTCCCCAAACTTCGTAACAAAAAAAAAACTTAAAAAAATGAATGTTTAATAGTAACGTTAATGATAATTAAATGAATGGAGAACGCTTGAAACAAAAAGGCAAATTTGTAAGAAGAAATACGGATTTTATATATATATAAATATAATTATTAATTGTTGTGTATAAAAGGGATTATCTGTTTTGGCGCGAAATCGGTATGATTTGAAAATGGAAGGAAAGGAAGTTTAAAAGTAAATAAATAAATATATATGTATATGGAAAAAAATTAAGAAAAAAAAAATAATAATATATAATAAAAATAATGAAAGTATATTATTATATAAATGAATATTGTTAATAAATAGAGTAATTTTTAGATTAAATATAAATGAATATTGTGATATTTTATTGTAGGCTAAACAATAATAATAACGACAACAGGACAACAACAACAACAACCGAAAAAGAAAACTGTGGAAATGTATATTAAGATTTTCGTGTTTAGCAGAAACAAATAATAATGATAATACTAATAACTAGATCAATAAATGTATCTAAATGAAAGAAACTGTTTTTTTTTTATTTTTTTTATTTTTACATAACAACTTTTGTTTCTTTATTTATTTAATTAGAAACACACACAAAAAAAAACACAAAAATATTGGAAGTGTCTTAATTAAGGTTTGTAGAGACTAATTAATTCTTTGGTTTTGGTAATTCTCTAATCTCCGTTTGTTTTCCTTTTGAAATTTTTGGCTTAATCCAATTCGTATTCCATTTTCGATTTTTCGATGGTGACCTCAGTTTCCATGCAGACTACTTGATCTCCTGCGTCATTGTGGATTTTCCATACCAAAATTGCGTCCAACTGTTGAAAATTTATTTAATATTAATTTAATTTGATTGTTTGCATAAGAAATGTGGATATTTTGAGTTAATTTTGGGTTAATTAGCGTGCGCGGTCAAAATCTAAACCGCTTTGTAGTGGCATTGATATGTCAAGTAGCGCCTCTACATAATTAACGGCAAAGTTTAATTAAGAACATAACGTATTTGTGTGGAATAAAAGACTTAAGAACTAAAATTCTATTTGGGCGGATATATCCGACGCTCGTCCGAAAAGGGTTATATTAATCTATTTTGGTTGCTGTACTTACCGGTACAAGTCCGGTTTTTGGTATGTGCATGATCGCGTTCAAACTGGCGTTGCGGTTCAGGCTAACTGGGCAATTAATCTCGTGGCAAGGATCATCGGGCGTCACTTGAATCCTGGTATGGATCGCTCTCACGATCAATTCGACGTTCTGATTTAAATGTTTGCTAGGCATTTCTAAAGAGGACGAACGAAAAGGAACATAATAAGTTAATAGGAAGAAAAAGTTTGAATTACATTAGTTTATGCATTAGACTTTGCGAACAAGGTAAGTTTCGACTATAAATTTTAACCGAACTTTTTTTTACATCCGCGTAATTACATAAGTAATTTAAGCTTTTACTATTCATTGTTTTAATCATAAGAAAGTTATAACGAAAATGTAAACTTAAATTAATATTTAAAGATCAAGCTATATTTGCACCAATTGAAAGACAAGCTACATTTGCACCAATCTGTCATGATGACTTAAAAATAAAATTGACGTAAGGTAATATTTCCAACATTGAACATTTGCACATCTTAGAATTGCAAAAAGAGATTGAAATATATTAGTGTCTACATTAGACTTTGCAACAAGGTAAGTGTTACATGAATTATTACATAACTTGACTTAATTAATTTGCATTTAATTGCTTAAAAATGTAGTTAAGCTTTTTATCATTAATTTCTATATTTCTATAATTAATTAAACAAGCAATTAAGATTTTTTGTCACTACAGAACATAATCAGAATATTTTTACATGCTGTTATAATAAAAAAAATACAGAAAATATAAATTTAAATACTGTCATGTCAATAAATATTTACAAGTTGTTGTTTTTATTTTGTTTCTGAAAAGTTAACATGTTGTTTTAATTGTAAAAAATTAACAATAAAATTAAATATTCTAACGTATGACATGAATTTTAACATTGTCATGCTTATGTAAGCAAAAATAATGACGCTATGCGGTGACTTTTGTTTCCAAAAATAAAACAAAAATGTAATAAATAAGTTTATTTTGCGTTTCTTAGTAAGTATAATAATAAAAACGTAATTTATGGCCAACTAGAAACATTCAGTTTTATATTTATTACTTTAAATTATGATGCATAGAACAAGTTTGTGTTTGTAAACTTTTGTACTTTTACTACAATAATATAAAATTTTATTTTTATTGTAAAATCACCTAATTTAAATGAAATTATTAATGTAAAATGGTTTGGTAAAATTTTTCAATCAAAAGATTTAACGTTAGAATATGCAAATTTAGATATTATTAAAATTATTTTTTACTAAATGAAATAATAAGAAAAATATAGGTTTTCTATAGACTTAAATAAAATGTAAAGAAAATATGAAGAATACAAGATTATAAAATTGTCGTTAAAAATGAGTTTTCTCGACAGTTATTTGAATCAATATAAAATTAATTTCGAAAGGATGTAAAAAAATGTAACGTACTTGAGATGAGGCTAATTTTAATCGAATGTTCTCCTCCCATCTTGACAGGACAAGGGAGCCTCGAGCATCCTATGATATCGACATCCAACAGATTATCACCAGAACCTGCGGCAACAGAAACACTCCATCAATAATTGAAGACTAATTAACAATTATTAATTGCCAATCCTAATTGCAATTGATAAATTTAAATTTTCCACGACTTACCGCAATCCATGAAAGGAATCGAATCCAATTTAACGGATCCGATCAGAACAACAAAAGCAAACAGGCAAATTTTCAACATCTCGAAAATTTATAAAATCAGAGTCACTTCCTAAAAACACCTCGAAGCTCTCTCTGAATGGATTTAGACCGAAACTCGCAGAAGCAACAACTGATTTTAAAACCTTATCGAACCTATAGATATAGTACAATGCCGATGACGATGAAAAAAAAAAATTGTTTATATTTTTAGCTGACGGAAAAAGCGTAGAACATATTTCCGTCCTTGCGATAAAAAAAAAAGTTAATTTTAGGTATTAATTATATAACGCAAAAGCAAATAAAATAAAACTAAAACGATTAGTTTTGATGGACATATTACGTTCTCTACAAATTTTATCGAAGATAACTGGAAATAAATAAATAAATAAATAAATAAAAGTATTAATCGAAGAAATCAATGCGTTTTTGTTTCATAACACGCCGCGATAAATAATCCGTTTCTTATCTGCTGATTGCAATCGAATCGATATGTCTCTTCCTTTTTTTTTCCGTATCTATTTATTTTCTCGTCTTGTCTTTTCGCAACAATTTTGTAAGGAAATTTCTATTTTTGAAAAATTTGATTTAACAGCCGTAAGCTAAAAATACGAGGATTTAGCTTGTTCTCTCTGTCGTCTTTTATTTTCGTCCCATAGATTAGATATGGATTGTCGTAAATTAAATCGAGCGATTGAGTTTAATCCGGTAGCAAAATAAATAAACTACTTGAATTGATTATTGAAGGCGACGTACAAAAATGAAAAATTACCAGAATTAATACTATTAACATTTTTTAGTTTATTAATATAACAAATTAGGGCGGAAAACCCTCGGTTTGGTCATAATTGTGCCCATTAATTAAATATAATAATTAAATAACATCTATATTGTCCATTAACAATAAATTTTATTTACAAAAAAAAGTGTATTTACATTTTATCTTATTACTTAATAACTATGCATAGTACAGTGATCAACAAATAACCAAATTGAAGCTAAACATATATGCTTTAAAATTGATATTTGGGACAATCGTGGTTTATCTACAATTAGACGTAAAAGTTACTAAAATAATTTTTCAAGTCTAGATTTACATTTTCTTGAATTACTCAATAACTATGCACAACAGAGAGATTACAACATAATCCAATTAAAGCTAAATATATAGGGTTTAACATGTGTTTATATTCATATTTGTGACATACGTGGTTTGTATGCAATCGGATTTCAAAGTTTCAAAAACTTGTTTCATATTTTATCGCGTAACTCAATAATTATACACAGCAGAGCAATCATGTTATGATCTAATTAAAACTAAATATACAGGCTTTAAAATATATTTATAATCATATTCATGGAATAAGTGCTTTGCAGATAATCCAGCTATCAATATTCATAAAAATATTGTATAATTTATTATATATTTTTTAAGATTTTATGATCAAACATCATACAGTCATAGTAAACACATTGATTTTGATTTGAAACGCATGAAATTTGTTTACAATTCTATAAGATCTCGATAGATATTCAGATAAATCTGTTGTGATTTTGATATTGTTGATAAATATTGTAAACATTTATATTTTTCAATCGTAGTTCAATGTGTTATTATATCAATAATATTAATAATTCGCATTCATTCTCATGTTTCGTGATGTTGTTATGAAACGTAAATATGACGTACATAGAAGTTAATAAATAATATAATTTTATATAAATTTACGTCAGCAGATATTTACCCTTTAGATATAGTAAATTTAATCTCAGATTCAAATTTGATAGTTAAGCAATGTTTGTACCATCTATCATGGATGATTCATAGACATTTCCAAATTCCAATTCAATATCAGCAATATAAGCTTGAAGAATCTCAAATAATTTTGATCAATGCTACAGAAACACTTTTGTACGTTCAATTTTGAAAATGTGTAAATAAAAATAAATTCAAAAATAAACAATATATTTCATTATGATTTCTTTACATGTTACAAAACTAAAAAATTAATATCACTTTTCCAAATAAACTGTTAACGGTTTTATGTAGTAATCTTGGCTGGGACTTCGAAACAGGCGATGGTCTCACCGCTCGGTGTTGTCAGACCCCAATGAACGATGACCTTCAACTGAAAACAAAGAGATTATTACATCAATTTTCTTACTAGAAATCACAAAGTTTCCTTACTTGTGGATAAATTTCCAGCACATCGATGACGTTCTTGTAGACGTATTCGGTTCCGGCCTTCAAAGGACAACTGGCCTTCGTAGTACCATCAGCTTCGAAGACGTTGTTACAAGCGTTTGTACCATCAGTTCCAATGAACGGGAAAGGAATACCAGCAATATCAGCTGTTACACTGTTCGTGATACTCTTGACATCCTTGTCTGAAAAAAAAGAACAACAATATATTCAGATTTCTGTTAAAGGTGGACCAGTTTCCTTTTACATAAATAAAACCATTCGGATAAGAACAACCTTCCGGTTTAATTTCAGGTCAAGATAATATTAATTAACGAGATTAATTAACCTTTTGGTTTAATTTATTTAATTACTTGTTAATAACTGAAAAAAAATGAGTTCATATCACTCTTATTATTTTTAATCTGATTCAATTCAATGAATGAACTGGGGATTCACCGAATAAAATTGATAAATTTTAGATTATCTCAATCAAAATAAGAGATATTTCCAAAACAAGAGAAACGTAAATTTCGATTAAAATGACACAATCCTAAATTATTGTCAAAATATTACAAGATTTAGTCACGACTCAAAGGTTGCGTGATCTTATAAACGAGATTCGGAAGATTGCCAAAAAAAAAACTGATCTGATATTAACATGATATCATCGAAACAACATGTTTAGTATATTGATATATTATTGATACATGATTGATATACGATCTTTTATAGGATTAAATGATTAATTAAGAGTTTTTAAGACAAAAAAACGATTAATTTTGTGTAATTTCAAGTAAAACATGTAAATGACATTGAACGAGTTAAATGCAATTTGAACCTTGGATTATTTTCGTAATCGTAATTCCGCTTCGTAATGGTTTCAATTGAAAAACCATATTATAATAAAAAGAATTGATGATAATTTTGTAATATTTATATATAAATATAACTTATAGTTTTATAAATAAAATTCTATTGAATTCTATCAAATTTTATTGAAATCGCTCCAATTATCTATTCAACTCCTATCTACGATTATTAACGAAATTAGTAATTCTACACGGTTACAATTACTATTATTAGGTATTATCTAAATCCCTTTTAACGAAATTATGATAAGGTTACAATACTCAAGGGAATTCAATGCGCCAAGATTAACCTTATTTTTTATTATGGAAATATCATTGAAATATATACTCCAACAGAAAGGACTACATTCAGGCTTTTAGTTATAGTTAATTAAGGATATTTAATGATCTTACAATACTATGAATGATGTTGGATGCAACAACTTTTTGTCTCATTTTGACAGTTAACAGAAAAAGTGTCAATAATTTGTAGAATTAGTTTATCAATAAATATAATATCTTAACAACAACATACAAGCTTTTAGTACTTTATGTTTAATGGATTAAAGATCTTGTTACTTGGTGCATCTATATTATGCATGATTTGGAACACAAATTATGTAAGCTGTAACAACTTTTTGTGTCATTACGACAGTTGACACTAATCCAAGTACTATCCGCGCCCGAAGTTGCTTAACTTTAGTGATCGAACGGGAACTAGTACTTTATCAACGTGGTATGGTCGAAGTCTATAATAGTTGACAGCAAAATTATCAATAATTTCGACAATTTACTTGGAACTAATCTCGTTATAACTACCAGTTCTTCAATTAAATTCATATAATATGGTTGATGAAGAAAATTTTGATTTAGGACACCAATATATGTCATCATAATTAAATGTCATAACAAAAAGTTGGTACACCTATACTATGACAGATGAGAAATGTAAATATAGAATAACAAAATCACACCAATCACAACATAGGCAACCAAATGAACATACCTGGTGTGAATTTCATTTGCAGTTGAGTCTGGGTTTTCTTCTGCAGCCTGCAGTAATTCTTCCTGCAACCCGAAACCTGAACGGTATCCTCGAAGTTCTCGATTTCCTTAGCTACAAACGAAAAGTAAACATACACAAAAGAACATAAAAACAAAACATTACAATAACAAAATAACATTACAATAACAAAGTAACATTAACAAAACAAAATCAATGAATGAAAACAATTAAAAGATTACGTCAGATCAATTGTTAACTTTCACCTCGATCTCGATGCAGCTGGACTTTGCAATTTACTATTACACAACAGATGCATTTTCAATTGAATTGGAAAATAAACTACAATGCACAAAGCACGTAATTTCAGGATTTCCGTTATTTTAATTTTTTACACATAATCACAGCTAATTCAGATTTTTGTTACTGTCGCGCACTTGCATAAAAAGTACATAAATATATAATTTGATTCATTCGCAATTTCATATTTTAATGATCGTGATTTGCATAAATTCGCAATAGAGAAATGCGTCGTCAGGTTGTAAAAGTAATTGCATTTTTGTTTTGGTAAACAATTTACTGTTGAGTTTCTTTTCCATTTCGAGAAGTGAAATATACGCATCGGATAAGTGAATCTGTGAGTTTGCTAAGTGAAAAAGTCAATATAGAAATAGTATTTAACCTAATTGATGTTTTTAATTAGTGAATATTCAATTTTAGGTCAATATTTACAAGAAGTCATAAAGGAAATGATTCAGTACAAAAATTTCCTAACTTAAGATATTTAGTTAAAAAAAATAGAAACTAACAAATTTCAAGAAAAACAAATATATGTCGAGGATGTCAAGTATTTTATTTTATAGTAATGAAAGACTAATGAAATAATGTTTTTAATAGAAGATTTTACGTTTTACTTGAGAGAAACACAAATTCATTACTTTTATTATTATTACTTTTACAATAACAATCATTCTGTATATTATCAAAAAAAAAAAACATTATCTAATTGAATTATATCATTATATATTGATTTTAAAAAATAAGATTATTTTGATATTAAAAAATTTAATTTAATTTTAATAAATGATTATTTCGAATCAAGAATATTATGATGGAATTTACATTTATACAAAAATAACATACTAGAATAACAAGCAGTTTGAAATAAACTAGAATTACCGGATTGATTGATGTTTTTAGATGCGTTTCAAACTTTCTCCGTTTCTACAAGGAGAAACGGAGAAGAAGATCTCTACGATTTTACAAATACTTTTCTCACGGAACAAATAATCATACAACAATAATACCTCGTATAGTCCGGCTTTAGTCAGTCCGTATTCACTGCACTTTTAATTGACTATAATAAATTATAAAAAAATAGTACACTAATTAAAGTCCGATTTCAAATAGGACTGATTACCCAAACTATGCGAGGTATTATTTTATTATTTTCAGAATATAATTCTACAATTTAGTGTATTATTTGCAAAAATTAAACAATTCTTGAATACTTTTGTCACGAAACAAACATTAATATTATTGTTTTTCAAAAAGATAACAGTACAATTTACACGTATAGTACATATAAAATAAATGAAAAATAAGAATATAAAAAACTTTCCAAGTTTTTTAAAGCATTTAAATGAAATCGAAACCAATCCAATTATTATACTTCACCTTGATTTTTTTATATTCCAATTATAACAGCAATAATCTATACAAATTGCTTCTGCTTCATTTATGAAAATCTGTTATTACAATAATTTATTCTGTATCACAAAGCAAAAGATGACTAGCGTTTCGTATATCGAGGAACATAAATTGTACAGTTATAATCTTTTTACCGTTTCTAGAAACTCCAATGAGTTATGCATTTCTCGTATAGTTTGGATAATGTAAATAGTAAATATTAAAAGAATAATATAAATAAAATGTGTTTTTATAAGAAAATAAATAATTTTATGGAATTTTAATTATCTTTAATAATGTGTAACAAAATGTGAATATTTTACATATTCTGGAATTCAAATTTACTACTTAACTTAATTTGAATATAATAGTAATTTTAGTTAATAAACTTTGATTATTTATAGTAATTATAAATTAAAACCAACTTTTTATTATTTCAAAATAAACTGAATTCAAAAAAAAAAACTTTTATTCAAATCACAAATTAATAATTTTAATAATAAAATCAAATATTACTTTTGAATATTTTAGCTACTTTAAATCAGTTTTGTAAAGTTAAATTTATAAATAATCGTAAAACTGAGTTATTTAGTTCTGAAATTACAATTTCTTATATAATCATTGCACGATTTATTTGTCATTTCGACAAAAAGATATTGACTTTTTGCTTAAAATAAATTAGTCTTTTTTACCAAAAGATGTTTTGTGACTAAAGTATTCCATTTTTTTTAACTAATTGATAAAATTGTAATAGTAATAATAAATTGTAATGAAAAAAATTGTAATTGTAAATAATTGATATTATTTTCACTTACTTCCTTTGCATTGTGAATAGAGTGCTGGAACGGTAACGAAACATCCGAAAACGGCGACAACAAAAACAAAGTACTTCATTTCGGTAAGTGCGGTGGTGTATGTGTATGTTGTTGGTTGACGTTGGCTGGTCTTGAGGTTGAACTAATCCAACGGTTAATGAAAACTGTCTGTTTGATCCGTCGCCGAGCTCGAAGTCCCTGGCCGTGTCCACCTGCGACTCTCTCTTTTAAGAACACCAAATCCCCCACCCATCCAGGAAACCTGATCAATCTTTCGCTCTGCACTCGCCGTATTCCCATTTGAATACAAAGAGCGGAATGGGAATTATAAATGCGCAGCGAAAAAAATAATTTAAATTGAACCAAGACCAGAACCTTCTTACTTCCATCGACATTCGTATTTAGATGAGGCATGTTGAGGATATACTGGATATACGTATAAACGAGTCAAGGACATGGACTATATTCCTTTTTAAGAATTTTACAAAAACAACGCAATTAAATCTCAATTGATAATAAATGACATCAAGTAAATTCATGCAAAATTTTAACAAGATTCATAAACACAATTAGTTTTTTTTTTATTATTATACAATAACAAAGCAAATATTAAGCAAAAAAAAACTTTATTATGTTATTATTATAATAGTTAAATTGTTCAAATAAAAAAAAAATCTAGTTTTGTGAAGCAATTATTTTTTTTATTAGTTTTAAATTATTTTTATCAAAGCAACAATATTTTAATTATCTGAAATCATCAAATGTTTCGAAACACAAAATGGAAATCCAATAAAATCATAGTAAAGTTAATTTTATAATTACATCATTAAACTTCATGAGAAGACATTAATAATTAATGCTATCATTTTCTATTTAAAAACACATTAAATTTTTAAAAATATTATTTGAAGAAAATTCAATAAAAAAATCTATTTTTTTTTGTGTATAAATAATTGATCAAATTAGAAACATTATAACGTTATTTTCAAAAGAAAACTACTTTTGTATAGCAACAATAGGGAAAATCAAATGATTTCAACCAAAAAATTAAAGAAATGAATTCAAAACTAACGAAACAGAAACGTAAATATGTAATTACTATCATAATTATGTCCGTGTTTTGTCGAGAAAACACGTTTTGTGAATTAGTACGCAATTTTCTTTTTTTTTTATAATTTAAAAGCGATTTAACTTTTCATAAACAACACATAAACATATTATTGAAATATTTCCTTTTATATCAATGTGAACATTTAATAAATTTAAGATCGCAGTTGACATCTTTCCTGGTGGATAGTTACCATTAAGATGATTAGATTTTAATTTGTAGACGACCAGTCTTGTAGGTTAACTTCAATAGTACATTGATGTTCTGTTCTGCGATTCCACTATTTCCTTTGACTGTGAATCTGCTGCTATCCTTAAAACTGTCATTGTCCATCATCGACTTGGTTGAACCTCATTCATTTCACTGTCCATCTGTGATGAACGATGGCCCTATTGCTGCATGCACCGAGATTCCTCACAAAGGGCCTGGCTTGACCTGGCTATTAGTCGCCCGAAATAATTTAAACGTAAATTATTTAAATATTCTCATAATAATATTATTGTTTGCTTTTTTCAAAAAAATTTGTTACGTTTTCAAAGTGATCAAAAAAATAATATTCAATGAAAATATATTTTAATATATAAAAAAAAAATAGATTCAAAAAGACAGATTTTTTTTTATTTGTATTTATAAAGAATTATTTGCTCGTTTCCAATTTATACATTAGCTTATTATCTAATACTTATTCTAATTACTATTTTTTTTTATATAATCTCGTATCATATCAATGAAATATATTAGGTAATTTATTAAAACAAAAATATTGTAAATTCAAAAATATAAGTTTATATATAAATTAATAAAAACAAGAAAAATGTTCAGACTTTTTTTTTTATCAATTTAATGTTAACAACATTAATTACTTTTTAACTAATTAAATGTACATTTTAAAAAGAAATTGTATTATTCATTAAGTTAAAAATAACCCAAAGTCAAAGTAATTTATTTTAACACTTTTTATTTGTAATTACTTTCCTATTAACTATACATACTTCATAGGTTGACCTTTGATATCATTGACTCAAATACAAATAAATTTATAAGAAAAAAAGGCTTATTCACTTGATAATTATAGTCGAAAGGTCGAATTTAATCTATAAATAAAGTGTTTTAACAAAAGATTTTCATTAAAATATTGATAGAAAGAATACGTATTTGCTTAATTACAAAAACATCTTAGTTATTTAAACAAACTTAAATATGCACATTTATTTGTATAAATTTCAATTTATATGTAAGCAATTGCAACAGTTCAAATATTTGAGAAAATTAGATTTTTCAGTTTGAAGCAATTAATAAATGTGTTTTAGAATCATTATTAAAATTTTGTTGTTTCCAACCGTTATTATTACGATTATTATTGTTAGTATAGTCGCCTTATTATATAAACATATGCATAAGCATAAAGGAACCTCCACCGTGAGACCGATTGTAACATTCCTTCCTATTTTCAACTGATAAACCAAATGCATAATAGGCAATTTCATCGAGACCAACTACTGATAAGAACATCGCTCATATTTTCAACTGGGAACCAGGCGCAGAATTGGCAAAATCCGTACAAGAGCAGTGACCTGAAGAGGAGCGCCTTATCAAAACCGTGCCCTACTCCTCAAACTTCGTTAATTTTATAAGTAGAATAAGCATTTGTAATTAGTCTTAGGAAGAACGTTAAAGAATCAAGTCGTGTCGAATATTTTAATAATAAACCGAAAGTAAAACTCGTTCAATTTATTATTTATCAAATCTAAGGCTTCACAACAGACAACAGAAGAAAATATTCCACAGTGTCCAGAAATCCATCCCTGGGATACGACAATGTATATAAATTTTGTATGCTTTTGCAAGTAATTATTTCAACTACTTGTCAATGAATACTAGGAATCAGTATTATTTAAAAATCACCAGATGAAATATTGCATCAAATGATTCGTAATTAATTTAATTGACGTTAGAACTAGTCTAATTTATAAAGTAGATATAAATAGATTTTTTAATTAATGAACATAAAATTTAACACGCACATTTAAAACAAAGTTTATTTAATAAATATAATTAAATTAATTACTACAAAAACTTCTATAAATAAAATTAAATTGCATGAATTTGGAACCGCCATAAAACGAGACGTAATTATTATTTAAATTATACTATTTGTTAGTATAATTATTTGTAAACCGCACTGTGCGAGGTATTACTATATATTTTTGATGAATTTCAAAAATCTATTGTTTGTTATGCGAAATGCGATAACTGAGACTTTTGAAGTTTGATGCGAGTGTGTTGACACCTCGAAGGGATTTATAGCATCCAAAAGTTTTTGAAGAGTTTTTGAACGTTGATCCACTTAATCTTTAGACATGTGAGATGGAAAGAGGGTGCGTGTTGCGAGGAGAGCTCGAGGCGTTGCTATCGTTACAAGTATCCTGAAAGCATTCTCAAATAATTAAATAACACAAGTTTTGCTTGATTTTGTTTTGATAATTTTCATCAATTTTTGAGAGCTGTTATGAACATTTGAAGATGGACATTTTGAGACGTAATGAAACTAAGTAATAAAAAAAGGATGTGTTTGAGGCTTCCAATTTTGATCATTGAACTTTACGAAAATTAAAATACAAAATTCTCATTATGTCAATAGGCCGAATGGTTAAGTCGGCGCCAGTTCGAATCCTAGTCAAGCCAGGCCCTTTGTGAGGGCTGACAATGACAATGCAATTTCATAAAATAGATAAATCTTTAGCAGTGATTTGAAAAATTGCGCCTCACAGTTTGGAAAACGCAGATATAAGTAGAATACATTAAAGTATATCAATATTCGGTTAACGAACAATTTGGTATACGCACTTGTTTGTTAACCGAATGTTATTCTAAATTTGTACGTTACTACGTCAGTGAATATTACATACAATTATGATATAATAATAGTTTCATCACTATAAATTATACAAATGTTACTCACGTCACGACAGAACAGTAAAACAATTTCTTATCTTCTTTTCTAATTCAACGATTCAACGATGTGAATGACCTGCACAATAGATTTAAACAAAAACAATGATTTTCGTCTATTTATTTTCAACTATTCAAGCATTTAAAAAAATAATTAAAATTAAATTAATTTTGATCAAGTCTTCTAAAATAAGAAATTTTAATGTAAATTCTATAAAAATATTTATAAAAAATCTACGAATTAGAAAAATTATATAACAAAACAATAATATTAAGTAACGAATTTAAGAATATTTTCAAAAAAATATATCTATTACTTTGTAGAAAACAAGATTTGTTTAAGTAAATAAAACAGGACGAGTAAGGACATTTAAAATGCAAATCACGTAATGATGAAATTTTTAATTGGTTGAATATATAAAAACAACTTAACAAATAGTTGGTTTTCGTTTGCAACTTTTATTAATAATAAAATATAGTTGAACCTGCACTTTTTTTTGTTTCTAGCTCTATTATTGATTTCAATCCAACCTTGAAATTAGTTTTGAAATTACAATTATTTCCACATTCGTGTCTGAGACATTACATAGAATACAGTAAATCATCTTTAATTATGTAGAAAAACTTACTATTCCAATATTTTAATTGTATAAATAATTATGACTATGTTAAAACTGTGCGAATATTGTATACAATTTGTGTATCTTTGAACAAATTATGTTCGTAAACCGAATCTTTCGAAAATCTAAACTTAAGATTTCAAGAATTTATTTGCTGAAATCTGAAATTTACTGAAAAAGAAAGTAGTTTGAAATTAAATAAATGGAAATAAAAAGAAATCAAAAATTTGTGATTAATTTTATGAAATAAATAAAATTATATATAAACTAGTTTAATTTTATTTCTAGAATCTGTATAAATAAAACTAAAATTGAAAAAACAATAGTTATATTTTATAATCATAAAGTCTACTTTAGTTAATTAACAGACAGAAATATGAATGCGAAATATGATGACAAAAATCTCAAATTATATAATAGATTCAGCGAAACGCAATGTTTCGCTGTGCGCTGCTACGTCCATTCGTTTATATTAATTGGATGGACAGGAAGAACAAAAAAAAATAATAATAATAAACTGGAAAAGCCGGATCAAGGAAGTAAACGATATTGTTTTGTTTCAATGCCTCGACTGTTCGACGAAAAGAGAATAATAGCGGAAACAACAAATAAATATATTCGTACATACGTATTATATATATTTTTTTATATATATATAAACACACAGTCGTTCGTGTGTCATGTGCAAATGCACGAAGAATGTTTAATTTACTTCATACATGTTTGACCGTGCGACGTGAATGTAATGTAAAAAGCACGATTTAATTGAAACGAAACACAGGAACACACACACGGAGACACAAATAATTATTATTTGGAACAGCTAATATGAAACTACTGATGAAAAGAAGATGAGAAATTAACATATGAAGGTTAATTCAAAGTTAGATAGTTAGTTTTTTGTATGTAATTAAGAATGAAAATGTAAATTTTGTTGATAATAATTTGGAAAGGAAATTTTATACTTAATATGTGTTAAATTATTGTCAGCAATACCTCGCATAGTCCGGCTTCGTTCAGTGCGTTTTCAGTTAGTCAGTGCGGATTCATTATAATTTGAAATTTTCCAAAAAAAAAGTACATAAAATGATTTTTTTATAGATAAATTATCATTTATTTTCTGTGTAAGTTCTTGTGCTGTTAATTTTTATGTTGTTTTTGATTAGTGCGGTTCCAAACATTAATGGATATAGGCGGAATAAAGTTATTTTCTTACTTATTTAATAGAAACTTAATATTTTGGAGAATAAATCATTCGATAAAGTTGACAAATTAAAAAATTACATTTAGTTGATAATATTTTCGAAACTAATAAACTTGAAGCAGTTATTGACAGTAATACCTCGGATAGTCCGGCTTCAATGAGTGCGGGATTTACTATAATCCGGTTTGAAAATTTCCAAACATACTAAATTTGTTTTAATTAAAAATTATTAAAGAAAATCGTACATTCAATTATTTTTTATAGGTAAATTATCTGAAGGCTAATTAAAAAGTACATTTACTTGATAATCATTTCGATACTAATAAAATTGATGAAATTATTGACAGTAAAACCTCGGATTGTGCGGCTTCAATGAATTCGGATTCACTATAGTCCGGTTTAAAAAATTTCAAAACAAGATTAATTTCAATTAAAAAATCTTAAAAAATAGTATATAAAAAGTACATTATCATTTATTTTCTGTGTATCTTCTTGTGCTGTTAATTCTTATATTGTTTTCGATTAGTGCGGTTCCAAACATTGATGAATATATGCGGAATAAAGTACCCGCATTATTTCTTTACTTAATCAATAGAAACTTAATAGTTTAGAGAAGAAATCATTCGATGAAGTTGACAAATTAAAAACTGAAGTTTAATTCAAAAGTACATTTAGTTGATAGTAATTTGGATACTAATAAAGTTGAAGCAATTATTGATAGCGATACCTCGGATAGTCCGGCTTCAATGAGTGCACTATTGAAAATTTCCAAACATACTTAATGTGTTTCACTTAAAAATTATTAAAGAAAATCATACATACAATTATTTTTTATAGATAAATTATCTGAAGGTTAATTAAAAAGTACATTTACTTGATAATCATTTCGATACTAATAAAATTGATGAAATACTTACAGTAAAACCTCGGATTGTGCGGATTCAATGAGTTCGGATTCACTATAGTCCGGTTTAAAAAATTTAAAAATAAATAAAATTTTGCTGAATTTAAAATTCTAAAAAAAAAAATCTACCCAATTTTTTTCATACGTAAATAGTAGTGCGGATTCACTATAGTCCGGATTGAAAATTTCAAAAGAAGATTAATTTCAATTAAAAAATAGTACATACAATTATGTAGTATTATCTGTCTCTTCTTAAGCTGATTATTTTTATAAGGTCCTCGATTAGTGCGGTTCTATACAGTGCTGGATATAGGTGGAAACAATTTCCCGCACTATTCGAGTGATTGACGTACTTAATTAATATGATGTCGTGTCCCGGGATTAAGAATCTCTGGACACCGTGGATTATCTTGTAGTTATGTCATTGTGGAGACTTAGAGGGGTTTTTGAATAGGCTTAATTAGTTTTATTGTGCATATCAGAGTTTTTATTAAGAATTCAACTATACAACTGTTGATTTCATGGATTATTAACTAAGAGTTACGAAGTAAGTGTTCTTCCCTGGACTCTCCAAGTAAGACCATGTTCTCACTTCGACCCTCCAACTAGGACTATCTTTTTCGTTGGATCCTCTAACCAAGATTATCTTCTCACTTTGGATGTAAAATAGACGCAATTATATGACTTACAGTGTAACCTTTCTTCGGAATATTCCACAATTTATTCTAAATAATCACGTATAAGTAATTATACAATGACACGACAATGAACATAATTTTTTATGAATGAAAAGTTTGGTTTTGAAATTTCTTAATAAAAATGTTTAATCATAATAAAATGCAATCAAACGAATGAAATGAAAGTCGTATGAATATAATTATTAATTTTAAAATAAGAAAATAAACATAATTTAAAAAAAAAGTAGTTTTGATGCTTATATTTGTATTATTGATGAGAATTATGCGATTTTTCAATAGGTTATTAAAGATTATTCAAATAAAATCTTACATAATCGGAGGTCACATTAGATTTTTAATGTTGTTATCCAATTTTAATATTTTTTTTTTCGTGCGTCAAAAATGTTGAAATAAGTAAGTTCAATGCGGTTATTTTTTATTAACTAATTTGAATAGATAAACAGAATTAACAAACGAATCTTAACAATTAATACACTTTTTTACAGGATGCTGATGTCGGCGCAGGAGCGGAAGGATTCTTGAGGTCCGCATCCCAAAGCGTAACTGCCGTCCTCGCATAGACCCCAATTGTTTCCTACAAATATTTTCATTATTTTTCTTGAGCCAAAGGATTAAGGATAATAATAATAATTTACCTCCGACGTAGATCCACCTCAGAACGCAATGTTCGCACTCGAATCCTTCAGGAAGTTGCAGCCTGTTTATAACTTGGTAATCGTCTTTGGTGATTGGGAATTTGTATTCCCTATTGACGAACCTGAGTGGAATGAAACAATCGTCTCCTGGTTCGATTGCGTTCACATCCTCCAATACGCATAAGTCGAATTCGAAATGACCCAAATGGTTGGCGGTCAGTAGACTGTAGGTCTCGATGATTTCGCCGGATGTGTAATTGGCCACGATCTTTCCCTGTCCGTACAGTCCGGTATTTTCGTTCTTCTGAGGATGAGGATCCCTGTAATTGTCGCCGCACACTCCGCATTTACCGCCGTTTTCCTGCCATTGAACCTGTAACACCAAAACCATTGTTTTATCCTTTCTTCATTCAATAAACTACAAAATTATCATTTATCAATATAGTAAAATCATTATAATTAGTAAATATGTACCTTTAGTACACATTTTTCAACATTTCATAGGAATTATTCAATGAAAGTGTCAAAAAATACTAAATTTAGTACATTTACTAAGTATATATTTGATTATACACAGTTAAATTAAGTAAAATTTCTTTCTCGATTCATTAAACTACAAAATACTCATCTATCAATATCATAAAACTAGTATAATTAATAAATATATACGTTTAGTATACATTGTTCAACATTTAATCGGAATTATTCGTTTATTAATACTTCTTACTATAGTAAAAGTGCAAAAAAAAAAGTAAATTTAGTACTTTCACTAATAAATATACAAATATACAGTTTTTAAAATTTCTTTCTCCATTCATCAAACTACAAAATTCTCATATATCAATATACTAAATAATTAGTATTTACTTTTAATATTTCAATATTTCAACAGAATGATTCATTGATAAATAATTATTGTTGTGGTGAAAGTATAATTTCTTACATTACATCAGAATTATTCATTGATGTATAGGAAAATCATAAAAGTTAGTAAATCAAAGATTTAGTAATTATATAGGGTGGTAATTATGTTCAGGGTGGCCCAACATTAAATTGCTATAACTTTCTGTCAGAACGAGTGGACGTTTTAAGAAGTTTCTGCACAATTACACAGAGCACGCGATAACCAACAATGGCTGAGAGACAATGTTCCACACTTCATTTCAACTGCATTCCACGGTGATCAAAGGCAAATCTGCTCGACTTCTTGGGACATTTTATAGGCCAATATCAGCACTAAAAAATACCAGAGTGTTAATGTGCTCAAGAAAGACCTTCTTCGTGAATGGAGGAAGATTCAGCAGGTTCACATTCGTGAAACGTGCATAGAGGCATAGTTCGCGCTAAAGACGGCTATATCAAAAAATGTTATTGTTTTCCAACATGTTTTGCTTTTGGTTCAATAAAATCCAATTTCAAATAAAACTTCTGAAAAGTTGCAGTTCAATTGGGCCACCCTGTATGTGTTTTCTCTACTTAGTTTTATCAATAAATATTTAAAACAAAAATCCTAAAATGAGTATATATACATTAAATAGACAATATAAATAATTTCATTAGAATTACTCATTTATACACATATAGTTAAATTATTTATTAAAAAATACGCACTTTTACTAGTCAATGTTTACATTTTCATTCCAAACAATGTACTGGATTCATTTATATTTGTTTTCATAAGTTTATAGATTTTTTTTTAATAACTACAAACATTAGTATTAATTTTACATTTAATATTAACTTATTTTCAAAGAAATCTTTTATTAAAATTTTCATATAAATTACTGTGCATTTGTCCATATTATATACGAATTTTAACATTTGTTATTTTAAAATTAAGAGATAAATCAAAAGTGCTAATTAAATTTTAGATTATTCAATTTATTTGAAAATTTTGAATCAAAATACGAATGTTACAATTATTAAAATATACAAAAAACAAATTAGATTTATCTGTAAATATATGCTTTAATCAATGTGTTTATTTAAAGTCTAGACAATATAATACAACAATAAATAGTAGAATTTTATTATTAATTACAATTATCAATAAAGATATTTATTTTTTACATTTTCTTCACGATTATTTGAAAACACAATAAATTCCAGCCCAAATTCTTTTATTTTTTTTTTGTTTTATTCAAATCTTTATTTAATTTCTTCTTCTTCTTTAATCATAAAAAACTTCTTACATGTTTCTTTTTCATTATTCAATATTGCATATTGTTAAAAATACATCTGCTTCAATTCACATTAGTTGCTTCCAACAGATTTTTTCACCAAAAGACAAAATTTAACTTAAAAATTAATGATTCCATTCGGCTGGAAAGGGTTAAATAATAAAAAAAAAAATAACAAGATTTATGCGTATTATAAACGAATAAAAGAGATTCAATAATAACATTGGAAAATTTTAACTCAAAATACAAATAAATTTAAAATATAATCATGATATATGGACTCAGATATTATTTTTTTTAAATATACTAAAGTTCATTTATGTGTTATATTGTTTATATACGTGTTGTTTATTGTTTACTATTATTTATGGATAGGATTTAATTTAATCTACATAGATTGTTACTCAATACTTTCCATTATTTAAACGTGTAATCTTATATACATGTGTAATAAAATTTGTTTGATAATTCGACAATTAAACAAACACAATGTTATTTCCCAAATGATTAAATTTAATTCAAATTAAAACAAAAAAAATGCAAAATTATCTCTTATCGTTAGTTACATAACAGGATAATTAAATCTAATATGTTTACAAGGAAAATATGTCAAACTACTGCTAAAACAATGAACAAAGTATATATTATACTTTCAGATTTTTACGTAAACTTCAGTTGAATTTTGAAATAGATATAAAGAAAATAACAACTAACATAAATTTCGTATATTTTCTAAATCTAAACACGTGCTTCTACTATAAAAATAAAATTGTTCACGAATCACACAAAATCTAAGTAAATTACGGTACATTTTCAGAATTTTAAACAACTCTTTTACAGTTCGAAAACAAAAAAACAAAATTATTTATTTTATTTGTAACATTTATGTAAACGTGTAAAATATAGTAATTTTAATTCTCTTGCGTCATTGAGTAATTTACTTGTTTTCATTAATAATATACATGGGAAAATTATTAATCATGCAATGATCTGTACACTTTTAGAAAAGTTTTTGCATTTGCTGTGAATAAATGTATAGTAATTTATGATAATTAACAGTTTGCTTATTTAGCACTTTATTTGTTAATTATTTAAAAGATGTAGTTAAATACAATTAATTATATAATATTCGGTCATTAAGTAAAACATATCCGTTTATCAAAGTACCAACTTTGTTACACGATATCTCTGATTGTATAATTTAACAGTTCTTTGTTTTTTCTATATTGAAAACGTACATCAGCCTTTCAGACACACCTTTTGGTTGTGATTATCTGTAAAATTGCCGTTTGCAGATAAAATTTGGTGAAGCATGGTTAACTCAAAATATTCGAATAAAAAGTTCCATCGTAGAACCAATGCACAGTAGAGAACTCAAAGTGTTAAGCAATGATGTTTAGATCTGGCGATTTTGATCTTCAAAATGAACCACGTGGCGACCAGACACACCAACTAACAACGACTGTTGGATAACTTCTTACAGAGAAAAGTATTTAATTCCCAACAAGCTGTAAAAAAACGCCTTTCGCGATTTCATCACCACTCGATCTTCATTGCTATTAAGATAGTAAAAAATATACTACTTCTTGTTTCAGATATAAAAAAAACAACATTCAGTTCAAAATCGGACGTTTCCGTACATAATAATCTAATAGAACAATATTAGCGAAGTACAATTAAAATTGTTTATAACTATAATAAATTTATAAATAGAACCGCTTCTAGGAAATTCACAATAAATTACGAAACGTGAGAAAAAAAAATGTACAGTAAAATGTAGGAAAAATATAAATCTTGCGCGATTTTACGTGTAAGGTCAAAATAATCTTAAACTCATTACGCACAGTTTATTATGTATTTTGTAATTTAAAATTGCAAGCAAGAAAAATATAATGTATTTGCTTACAAATATTTAATATATTAGCAAATACAGAACAAAAACAAATCAACAAATTACACTAATTAAAAAATCAGTATATACTCTAAATTCTAATGATTTATGTTATGTTTACAAAGTGCGAGGAAAACACGTCTTTAATTACTTCAATTAAAAAGCAATCTATGAACGTACTTTAACCAATATAAAACTCAAATTAAATTACGAAATTGAAGATTTTAATGTGATCGAATTCAAGGATATCTGCTTTTCATATCGAGTATATGTATACAATAAGGGTCACATTAATTTGATTGTTAACATTAAACAAACTGTTATTTCGTGAAAATGTCATGAACTTATTGAAAGTAAACAAAGCTTTGCTTATAAAACGTCGAAATGTATTTAAAATAATAAATATCTAACTTAATTTACTTATTTAACGGAATTGTTGAAGATCTAAATATTATAAAAATGTGAGATTTCCTGATATTTAAAAAAGTTTCATTGAATTATGAATACGTTTTTGTAACAATATATAGAAAATTCTATGAAAAAAATATTGAGAAAAGTAATTAAATTTTTCATATTGAATTAAAAAAAAGTTTTTAATGTTTTGGTGAAATCAATAAAATCCATAGATTATTTCTGTATTTACTTGTAAATATTTATGATTTTTGTTGATTTTGAATTGTAAAGCAAAATTTGCATTTCGTAAGTTAATTTTAAATAGAAAGAAAAACTTCATAAAAGCTGAATTTGTATTATAATAAAGTAAAATAATTTAATAGAAAATATCTATATAAATTTATAAGAAAAATCTACTGAAATCACGCAATATGTATGTTAATACATTTTAACATCCACATTTGATTATCAATAGTCCCAATCTAAAGTTTTAATTAAAAATGAGATTAAAAAATATGCGAACTTTCCTGAACTTTCGCTGTTTACGAAATTAATAATGTCCGTTGATTGTCATGTAAAAATGCAAATATTTTCTTCACTCAATACATTTTTTTTGTTGTTGTTGTTGGTGTTTGAATATTAGTTTGGATGAGTTATAAAAGTTCTCGAAACTTACGTTGGCTCCGCCGCAGAAGTTTTCGTTGTCATTATAATTAATCGGGGCTTCGTCGTCGAAACGCCATAGAGAACTCCTGTTCGGCGGATCCAAGAGCATGCCGTGTCCTGCCGATTCCTTCGCAAGGAAAACACACATCAAGGCAATTGCGAATCGCATCATATTTAGTATTATTTTATTAAATTAAATTTTTAGTATTGTATTGTTTCTGCACTAATTTTTTGTCTCACCTTCCATCATGTTTATATACACATTGGCGAAACGGCGTTTCTGATAAGATAAAACGCCTATCTTGGAAATTGTCTAAGTAATCCGATTATTCAATTACATTTTGGTGAGAAAAACTATTCGATTTGGATATTGTATTTAATACACGCGTCTCGACATCCATATCTTTCCCATTGTTCTGAGTACACTTTTTTTATGTCCTCCTTCTATTTGCTAATAGTTTAGTTTTAATCCTTCGATTCACTTGAATTGTATCAATACATTAGCAAATAAATCTCTTCCATGTTGATTCACGTTTGCTTTAAATAGAAGATTTAGATAAGGCAGAATGAAAACATCTGATTTTTTTTTTAAATTAATGTATGCTTTGACGCATTTGAACATCATAGAATATCCACATAATTACGTCGCAATTGGTTATAAAATTAAGGAATTAAGATATCAATTGATTAAGTCGAAAATTGGTTACAAATAAATTAAAAATATTCAGCTTCTTTAAGCAATTTAAATTCCAATCTTTCACAATATTTTTAGTATAAATCTTCAATCCAAGGAATATTCGCAACCAAATGCTCAAGATTAAGTTTTACAAAAAATATATGTATGATTTTCTACATCACATAAAGTAAACTCTTCATTAAAGAAGTCTTCAATCCTCAAATCAAAAGAAACCAACTAATAATAATGAATATAATCTTCAATCTAAAATATATATGGTTTTAGAGAAAGATCATTTTTCTAATAAATTTGTAGATCTTCTTAGAGGAAGTCCATTAGTTTAATGACATTTTCATCCTTAATTTAGATGTAATAAGTATTTTTCAAAAATGTAAACTCTTCTTTTATGGAAGTGCAGTATATTCATATCATTCTAATTTATAGATTATCATTTAATAATGTAAGCTGAAAGTCTAAGATCATCATGGAAACTTCATTCTCAACCAATAATTTAAGTTTTAAAATATATTTTATAATGAATTCCTAAAATACCACCTAAAGTAAACACTTTGTTAATAAAGTATAGTAGATTCATACCATCTTCAACATTAAGCTATGAATCATGATTTTTTGGTACAAATTTGTAAATTATTATGTCATAATATAAGCTAATTCTTCTTAAAGTTCAAGAACCTCATGAAAACTTTATCCTCAACATCAAATTTAAATTGGAAAACAACAGCATTTTTATAATTGTTAAGATTATTATGTTTAATCTCTAAATCAAGTTATCATCTGGAGATGATAAGTAAGACAGTTTTCTTAAATTATTGTTTAAAATTTACCAATTTTATTAGAATAATGATCATTATAATATTGAAAATTCTATTATAATTTGAAATTTTTATTTGCTAAATGGACAACTATTCTTAATAACTATGTCACAATCACTGTAGCAATAATAACGTGCTCAAAAAAACAATGTTTTTTTTTGGTATTAAGAATGAATTGTTGTTAATTAAGAATTATTGCAGTTCTAAAGATGTAAATAAAAGAAACTCATTTATGATGTATAGGAAATGTTTTAACAGATAATTAATAAGGCTATCCATGATCGACCTAAAAAGATTAGTATCTTAATTGTAGGGATTTTAAGAGTTAGTACGTCTTAATACGTCGATACCAATAAAATGAAAGTATAAATCAAACGATAAAAACCGTGCAAAACCCTTGAATAATCATTGATAGTCGAAATTATTGTTCGAAAAATAAGCGATACTGCCGATATTGGAATCGCTCTTGGAAATTGCTTTTGTCGGCACAATCGCCGCTTAAAAAAACAATCCTCTAATTGGTCCTCGAGATCTGCCCTAGAGCAATTAATACATTACTGAGTGCTTTTCACTTGAGCATCAAACGAAAATAGAGATTACGCAAATCGAGGAACTTTTCCCGTTCGTCACAGTTCCAGGTTTCAATCGATTTTATCTAATCGCTCGGCACACTCACTATTATAATAACCGAACACACACACACACAAGGAAAAAGATTACCTTTTTAGTCTGTTGTTTTCAAAAGGAAATTACTAATTAATTTCCTAGGATCGAACGACAAACAAATAAATGCGTAATCGTTTAAATCTGCTTGTGGGATAAAGCGTATTTCTCATGTGTGGAATAAGGATAATCTCATTTTATTTCAATATGTATGTAAATCACTTGTTGATCGTTCACGAAATCTACAATATATTGCGGTATTATTAGCATATTCATCTTATTTAAAAAAAAATATGAGAGTTGAAGTGAATCTTATTGTAATACTTTTGTTGCTGTTAAACGTCGCATGTTCTTGCAGCCTTGAATTTAATGGATCTACAAAGTCCGAAAAATTATAAGTAATCTTTGGAAGTACAATTGGGTCATCATCATCTTTGAGAATTTAAAGTATATTCAATTTAAAATAAAAGCTTTATTTGTTTTGCAGCTCAGATAAAATCGAGTTGATACAGATCGATTTCGGATTGCGTGAAAATATTCGCCGGTTGTACGGTTTTCGAGGAATACTCGTCAATCCTTTGGCGGAAAGGACTCGGTCCATCCTGGTCGTATCCTCTCGAGATGTGCGCGTTTATGTGTGAGATGTCATTTAAAATCTTCTCGCACTCCTTGTAAAACTTATCGTCTTCGCTGGTCGAATGTTCATCTGTCGTACGATCCAGAGGTCTGTCGTACTTGTTCTTCAGATCCATGAACTTACCCTTCACCAATTTGTAAGGATACACGACTTTTCCGATGTAATCGTAAGACGTGGCTCTTCTCTTCTTGTGATTGCATCCGGGCAGATGCTTCTCCGTTATATCCACTTGCAGCACGCACTCGTTGTTCGAGTAATCCAGGATCCTCGTCTTGTACAGATTCTCTAAAGGAATGGAAAGGCTGCTCGGTCTGTTCTTCACTTTCGTGTTTGATGGACCTTTGCTGACTACCACTTCGGACCTCCTGAAGTTATCATCTTCGGGATTGTTGGAGAACTTTTGATGTTCTTTGGTGAAGCCACTCAAGTAGCGCTGCGTGTAGCTCAGTAATTTAACCATAACCAGCACGACAACGCAATTTCCAATGATACGGACGATAATGTTCATGAGAGGAACATACTTGTAAATTTTGATTGAACGAAAAGTCACACGGCGAAAAAGAAAACTTTTTATATTGCTTTCAATCACCTAAGCAACGTGAAACGTCACCACGAAATCAAGATGCAAGATTCCAAAATTCAAGTTATTTCCATCACGGACAACGGCAGAGAAACAAGACGGTATTTGTTCAAGAACTGCAATGACCTCGTCGAAATACCCATTGAAGATAATCTACCGAGATATTCGGAGAGATCTTTCTGCAGCTACAAGACCAACGATCCTTATTTCAAGAACGAGAGGAAGACGCGCAGCATCTTCGGTCCGCTCGTCGTTTTTCCTTACAAATCCGTTGATCTGAAGCCGATCTGCATTTGGGATCAGTGGAGGTTGAGGAAGAAGCAACGGCGAATGAAAAACGAGCAAAAGTTAAGCGCGGAAAATAAAAATAATGAGCCTGTATACAAATTCAAAGTTGCCGAATAATCTTTACTACTAGCATTATGATCCTCTCTTCAATAAACCAGATTTTACAACTTGTCTTTAACCTTGCTCACGCTGTCTCTGATCTTTCCTCGGATCTTCGTGTGGACCGTTTGCGCGTTTCTCTTGAATCTCGTCTTATAGGAAGCTACAAGTGCTTTGACACTTATTGGTTTCAACTCGACTGCCAAGTAAGGAAATATCAAGGATCTGTAATTGCTGTATTTGGAGTTCTGGCAGCATTTGCAAGGACACGTCAGGCTCTGCGGATTTGGCTCTTCGGTAAACTCCACGTCATCGCCTTTAACCACATTCGACTTCACCGATACTCGAATTCCAGATATACCAGTCGCACGAGAATCAGATACATCCATCGGAGTGTAATCAGCAAATTCCTCCACCGAGTACCCAGGAACTGTATCGGAAAACCTCTCATCCATCGAGGGTTTTGCAACTGAGAACCGTTCACCCTCTAAACTGATATCAGAAATTTTATCCTTTAAATCCAAATCCGTCGACGGCTTTTCAACAGACAATCGTTGACTGGATTCATCCAAAAAGTCACCCTTTATCGAAGACTTTCTAACTGATAGCCTTTTACTCGACACCGAACGTGGCGTTTGCTCCTCCAAAATCTGCCCCAAAGAACTTTCATCAGCATCATCACGAACCGATGATTTTCGCAGCGAATACCTTAAACCAGATATATTCGAGTCGTCTTTCAACGAAGACTTACGAAGCGATAACTTTTTAATTCCGCTTGATCGAATGGAACTTCTTTCATTCTCTGATTGTAAACCCAATGGTTCATCTGCATCATCTCCAATTGATTTGGGCAGAGAATACCTCAATCCAGATATATTCGAGTCATCTTTAAATGAAGATTTCCTAAGCGATAATTTCTTGTTAGATATAGTGGAAGGTGTAGGTATAAAACTTCTTTCATTCCCAGATATTAAACTCATAGATCCATCATCATCTTCAATCGATTTGGGCAAAGAATACCTCAGTCCAGATATATTCGAGTCATCTTTAAATGAAGATTTCCTAAGCGATAACTTCTTGTTAGATATAGTGGAAGGTGTAGGTATAAAACTTCTTTCATTCCCTGATATTAAACTCATAGATCCATCATCATCTTCAATCGACTTGGGCAGAGAATATCTCAGTCCAGATATATTGGATTCATCTTTGATATTTTCATTTGATATTTTCGATGATGGTTGCATGTAACTTCCATCACTCTCCGATCTTCCATCGCCCAATGATCCTTCATCATCATCTACAGTCGATTTGGAATATTTCGGTCCGGATATATTCGAATCAATTTTTAAAGACGATTTATGCGAAGAGTGATGTGGAGGCACAAAATCATTATAAGCATCGTCCTCTGAGGATTCTCGCACAGAAATTCTTATACCGGATACATTGGATTCGCTATTCAGAGATGATTTTCTAACTGAAAGCCGACTAGCCGATTGTTTCGATTGTCGAGGTGTTTTCATTGAACTGCTCTTATTTTCTAATATTGTTTCGTCGGAACCTCTGCTTTCCAAGCTGGAATTAGAATCATCGGTTATGCGAGATACATCCATGTTGGAGCAAGTTCTGCTTTTTGCGTCTATAGATAAATTCGAGTCTAAACTTTCCAAAGACTTTGTTGAAGGGTTTACAGATGTTGACGGAACTACTGTATCAGGAATTGTTAAATTTGAGTGTGAAATCTTTCCAAAAGATTCCGAAGGATTTTGTTTCTCGTAGACTTTTTGATCGAAATCAGTTGTTTCTAGTAGATTCCTAGGACATGTAATGTTCGTGCACGGTTCTTTCTTCCTCGATTGAAAAGAGCAACAACTGCTCTTTTCCGATTTCTTTCTTTCAATGGTCATTTTACGTTTCTTCTTTTCTTTACAACCAGATGAACAATAGCTTCGTTTCGCAATAAAAGTCTCTTCCGAATCTTTGGATATAATGCTTTGTCGCTCATTTTTTATTATAGTAGTTTCTTTACTTCTTGAACAACAGCTTCTGTTTTTCACAACAGTGACTTTGGATGTTTCCGGCTTAATGTATTGAATCTGCTCATCGACGAGTGTTCTTTCATAATCGTCTGGATCATACTGAACTTGCTTATCAACATGAACTATTTTTTTGCTAGTTTTACTACCTGAGCAACAGCTTTTTTTCTTTACAACTTTTACAGTGGTTTCTGTAGAATTGCTGTATTGAACCTGCTTATCGATGTGACTAGTATCATTTTGTGTTTTTTTCACTGAACTCCTTGAACAGCAACTACTTTTACTCTTGCTCTCAACAATTGTACCTTTCGATTTCTTTCTTCTGAAAGGAGATTTCGTAGCATAAATTTTCTTTTTTTGTATGACATCCTCCTCCTTGATTTTCTTCTCCTTCGATACCGAAGCGCTTGGACAATATATACAATTCCTTCGCGCTCCACTACTATCTGACTCATTTTTCTTAATAGTCCTTGCATATTTATCACAATCCTTCGAACACACTCTTTTTTCAATTATAATAGGTTCCCTCTTCTTCCCAGAGTTTTCGCACTGCTTAGTACACACCTGTATTTCTCCTGTGCTTTGTCTAGTTTTGTTACTTGAAATTATATTGCAGCAGTAGCTTTTACTTCTACCCAAACTAGCTTCAGATTGACTTTGCGTAACAGATGACCTGGTTCTGTCTACCTTAGTTACATATCCTTGCGAATCTTTACTGGATACTCTACAACATGAACTCTTTTTTATAAGTACTTCTGAAGTGCTTTCTTTGAATCTGTTGGGACAATAAATATTTTTTATCCTATCATCATTCTCGAATTCAGAATCTTCAATGGATTGGCACGACAGTGTTACTCCAGACGTTTGCGTTCCTCCTGCGCACTTCTTAGGTTTCCCAACAGTTAAAGCAGCCAAATCAGCTTCGGCGAATAGCGATTCGACATCGTCGAAGTCCAAGAATGTGATGGATTTTCTGCATCCGTTCTGATTTTGTATGAGTGATGATTTTGCATTTGAACTGACTTTTTCTGACATGACACGTGAATTTTGACATGTGATTTGAAGACGAAAAGATGAAGACGTAATTGAGTGCAGGATAGAAAAACAAATAGTTTAAAAAAAAACTTAATTTTATTTAAATAACTTGAAATATCTAACGCACAGCACAACATATAATAAAAGCTATCACATCAGTATTTTTATTTTTTGTTTTGTGTTAATATTAATAAGATCTATGTTTAATTGAAAATATATTCATATTTATATAGATATATATATATTTATATATGTATATTATTATTATACTTAGGTCGCTAAATGAAAATAAAATATAAAACTATCTTCTTCCGTTTCGCAAATTGTTCGCCGAATTCTCTTAAAAACCTATTATTTTATTTATAATATTATTCTGTTCTCAAATTTTCTGTATCAAAATAAAGATGTAACTTATATAATTAAGATATATTCCGCTTCAATTGCTTCCCTCTAATTTAACCGTCGACTTTCCATTTCTCCACAGCTTCTCTTCTGACATCTGGTAGTAGTTGGTTTTGTACACCTCCCAGTACATTGTTGGTGGCTTCTGTGGCTAAAATGATTGGTTTAACAATAGTGGGTCCTAACTGCCTCAAGACTCCGCCCACTGCACCGCTGTAGCCCTTCTGTTCGTGTTCGTGCGAAGCGACACGAACAATGTTCTCTGCAGTTTCGCCCAAACCCTAAAACAAACGATGAATAAATGCCAAAAACATAAATATAATATGCGAACTACTCACTTCTTTGACTACGCTGAAAGCATTGGCCACACCTTCCCTGATATCCTGCGGTTGATTGTACCTCCTCTTCTTGCCTTTAGGTTTGATTGCCTTTCGTACACTTGGACCGGGCGACATCATATCATAGGCAGTTTCAGCGGTTAACTGGATCAAATGGATAATTCTGGAAGTCAACTCTAAAGCTGCCATCGCCGTTGAAGTGGTAAAACTGTTAGCGCCCCTCTGCAAACCGCGAACGATCCGACCATCCTTTTGGTATTGCTCAATCGGCATCCAGAACAAATCCTTAATACCTTGGACTGAAAAGAAAAAACACTATATAGAATATTTAAATAATAATTTTGATGAGATTACTTACAAAATTGCACTAACGCATTTATTGGACCAACTCCGCCCAACAGACTTGGCAGTTGATTCTTCTTAATATCATTCAACCACTCATTCAGAAAATAGGCTACGAGTTTATCGAAACCTAATATTCCGTGATTATTGCACAGCCTTTTCAACTTTAATTCGGACTTGTTCAGTTGTGCCAAGCCCATTAATAGACCAGCTAAAGGACCGTGCGTCATATCCAATCTTTTACCATGGTAATCCAATCGGATCAAAACATCAGATGCGAAAACAACACGCCTGAAGTAGATCGGTGGTGCTGTTTGTGGAGTAACCGAAGACACACTCACAACCCTTGGCTCTTCAGTCATCATGACACTGCTACTGCAGCAAGCTTCGTCCATTAGCGTCATCAAATTTTCATCAACCTTAGGAGTATTATCGACTATATTCTTTTTATCTTGCGCGGAAACCATCAATACAGGTGGTAGATGCGTGGGTGTATTCTGCCTGGAACAGGAAACAGTTTCTTCTGCTCTGCTATCCGATGCACTCAAGTTATTGAAGAAGTCGATCAGGAATAGTAAAGTATCTTGATCGATGTGTAAGCGCAGAGGAAGCAACGATATTTTCAAAGAGCATTCTTGCACTTTCACATTAATATCGGGCCTGATGTGCAATGCTCTCACACCAATCATATGTGCATGGCTCTGCTTTGGCATATCCGTACTCGAATATTGATATAAGAATTTATTAATTCTACTAGTTGAGAGACGATCACGCATCTCCAATTCGTTCACGAACAGCACTTGCCTGGATGCTTGTAACGTGTTTTCTGGATACAATTCGTGCTGGAAGCGCACCTTGCTCAGTTTAAGTTCGACGATCTTATTGTGATCCCGATTCACTCCACCTTTTATTATCCAACTCACTTTCTTCTGAGGAGTACTCTTATCCGGCATAAAATTATCGAAAGTGACGGCACCGTCCTTCGGATAGCTCACAGCGGTGTCCTTAAAATTGACAGTCTTTCTCTCCTTCTTTTCGTCGCTCTTGATTTTAAAATCGTTGCCGCCGTACATCTGCCATATCACGGACATATCGCAAAGAGTGTAACGTTCCACGGGCATTGGGAAGTGTTTGGGTGGTCTCAACACATCAGCCTTTTCAATCGGAATTTCAAAGTGATCGTCTATAATCCTTAATGGATCATCGCTTAGCCAATTGATCTCTGGAACTCTATTTCTGGGCTGTAAAATAATAAGATTTGTAATTTTATCGAATCGCATACTTATTTTTTTTTTAACTTACACAGCTTTCATCGCCAATCATGCAAAATTCATCGTCAGTGTCACTGCTCCAATTTAATCTGTTGGCGACATCACCTAATTCAGCGGTAACTTGAGCAGGGGGTGCTGGTCCAGATCTCGATGATGGACCAGCTCTCGATGATGGTCCAGGTCTCGATGATGGTCCAGCTCTCGATGATGGACCAGCTCTCGATGATGGTCCAGCTCTCGATGATGGTCCAGCTCTCGATGATGGTCCAGCTCTCGATGATGGTCCAGGTCTCGATGATGGCCCAGGTCTGGGTGACGGTCCAGGTCTGGGTGACGGTCCAGGTCTCGATGATGGCCCAGGCCTGGGTGATGGTCCAGGTCTCGGCGCTGGTCCCGGTACCGGCGCTGGTCCCGGTGCCGGCGCTTGTTCCGGTTCCGCTTCAGGTTGTTCTGACCCAGTTTTAGTCTCATCAGGGAAGAAGAATATCCTAGCGCCGAGAGTGTCATACTCATGTCTTCCTTCGACTAAATTATTGATTAAATAAGAGATTTGTTTTTTGAAGTTTACACAAAATTATTACCTTCGACGGTAACGATCTCCTCCATTGCATCGTCCAACATGTCTGTGATTTCCTGGTGTTGACTGTTTGATAAATTACTGATATGTTGGGGATCGAGACTGACCAACTCAGGTTCGGAATTATGCCTAGGACTTGTAAAAGTACTCGTTGGGGTGGAACCAGCCTCGGGTAACGCCAGATCACCATCATTGGCAAAGTATGTGATTAGCTGCATTAAAGCCCTTCCGCTGTCCGCGCACGTACGAATATTTATAATATTATTAGAGGCCCTGAGATCAAAATGCGGATTTATGCCGCTGACTTTATCGTTTGTACGGATGCTTAGCTCGAACAGGCCCAGATCCACTACAGCTACATAGTCGTTCAGCAGATCTACGTAGCCGTTGGACGGATAGCCATTCCTCGGCGGTTCCTTTTCGCTCAAGAACAAAGCGCACTCCTCGGCAATGAAGCGTAATGTTGAGGTATTGGCGGTGGCGGTTAAATGCGAGGACATGCTGAATGTCCCCAACGTAACTACTGAGCGTAGTGGCAGGTTAAACGGCCTGGAAATAAACGACAGAAGAATTAGACTTTGAAGGATGAATTGGAGTCTCCTTAGATTTTACCTATAGTCTATGGCACAATCCCACAAATGCAGGTGCAACTCGGTGAGGACATCTTTGGCGTGGAATCCTGGTATTGTATAATCGTTAACATTAAAGAAGTCCACGAGTTGCGTGATCCAACTGTTCGGTTCTGAACACATACGATGTCGAAGAGTCCCTTTGCTGATGCCAACGGCAACGCAAACAGTCTACAAATAAGCGCTAATATTAAATCAAGTTCATATTACAACATTCCAAATACAAACACAATACCTTAACGTGATGAGTTTCGTGATTGGCCTGAATCTTAACTGCTACAGATAGCATTTCTCTGTCTCCTCCCCTATCCCTCGCTGAAACCAACATCCCTGGTTCCGATTTGTAAATAGTCGAGTGCAAATGCCTCGGCATCATTGAATTAATATCCCTTAAGGGCGGTGTAAAGCTTGGACTAGTACACATATCTGTAAAAGCAAACAAATAGAACATTTAATCTGCACGAATAATCAATTTCGAAGATGTGCTTACCACAGTGGTGCAATTGAGCACCTTTCGCTTGGATGCACACATAACCGAGATTTTCATCTCCTTTATACCCGGTCACGCTGAAAATGCTGACATCATCAACGGCCAAAGCAAATTCGCCGTTCTGCTCGGGTATTACATTTCCAGCGGAATCTCGCATAGGCGGATTCATGCACACCAACCCTTGTCCTATATGCAAATTTAGGGTTAAATAACTCTGACCCTTCGGTTTGGTACTCAGTTGTTTCCTTTGATGTAACTTATCTGTGTACACCGAATGGAACATGCTATCGTCTTCATCATCGTTGTCCGATTCTGTGTCTGAACCTGAGAAAAAAAAAATATTGAAAAATAAACAGAATAAAACAAAACAATTAACGAATTTACTTACAGTATTTGATTCCGCTTTTACAAATGGCAAATGTCTCTGGCAACTCATAGTTCATCATTGGGAAGACGTTGTCCGCTTGGAATGAGAGCGTCGGGGCCGGAGCTGAAGGTTCCCATAGCAGAAGATCACTACTTATGTGATTGTAAAGCACTTCGTAAATATGCTTCGAGACCAATTGAAAACTAACAGTGGGTAAACTTAATTCAAGTTGTATCCGCGACGAACGCGTCGTCGTCTCAATAAAATCAGAGATCTCATGTTTATCTCCCGGAATAACCATTTCCTCGTCATCTGTTAGATAAAATTAATATTAAAATTTGATTTTTCTCAATAAATCTATTTGAAATTACCTTTCTTCGCGTGAGGTGTATCGCTCTCGTGTATAACACGTTTACAGCTGAATGGTCCGTTACTGGATGGTTCCGTGTATAAACTGCCGTAACACGACTGATTCATTAGATCAATCTCCGGCTCATCCTCCAAAACTACCTCATCTTTAGCCAAAGGATAAACCATCAGGACGAATCTCGGAAAATTGAAACCATCCTGCATGCACATCCTCTCGTCCACCGCGACCTTGGCGATGTGCAAAGGAATCGCGCCCTCTTTTTCGTGATAATTAATATCAATTGTCTTCGCCTGCATCGCGTATTTTTGGCAAACCTGATCCGTGTGCAGGGACGTATTCCCTGTGAATTTAGTCATGTGCAGTGTTAGGAAGCTCGCGCGAACGTTTCGCTTCCACCAGGGCGATTTCAGGGGATCATTAGCCGACCGAAAATCAGGAATCGGAAATCGCAATTTGACAACCAGCTGATCCGAAGACACTTTGACATCCAATTGTGATTCGGTGGTTGTCGTCACGGTGGATATATCCTCCAGGGTAGTATCTCGTTTACCCCATTCCTCTTTAGGTTTTTGGATGACACACACAGGTGCAGAGTTCAGCAAGGTGCTGATTCGATCCATCAAAGTAATATCTATCTCAAAGATACAAGGATCCAATGTGATGCTAAAAATAGTAAATTTACAAACAAATTCAATTATGGAATTGAATGGGATAACTTACTTTATATCTGTTTTGGGAATAAATAACCGTTTAGCTAGACCCATCTTCAATGTCTTCTCGCTATGCTTAAAGTTCATTTTGAAGGAGGGCTTAGCGACACTCGTGTTTTCGGAGAAATTCCATATTTTGATGTGCTCCATTTTATCATCTTGTTTCAGAGACTCATATAATTCAATTTTTGATATAGTCACTTTACCGCATAAAGAGAACTGTGACGTGGTTTTGGTTTGATTGCACTCGATCTGTATTGGACATGCCAGCAGCCTCAGCTGATTTAGATCACATGCCCTATCGAAAGCTTTCGCAATGTCTTTAAAGGTTTTCTTACCATACGTCACCAACCGAATTCGACCTGCTTTTGTCAAGAATTCATTAGATATATTCTGCATCTGCTTCACGCTCGAAACGAGCAAAGTGCTGTCCGTGCTCAACGTAAGCAAATCTTCGTGTAAAACAACTAAACCTATCGAGGCTAATTTGATCTGGAAGTGCGAAATCTCTGCAGTCGGATCGAAAGCAATGTTATTCGTCCGACGACGGGAGCGATTTGTCGTCGCCTCGCTCATTGAACTCGCTATACTCGAGCTCAGACTTGACTCCATGCTACTGCTGCTGATATTAGATGTAGTACTCTCGTACATCATACCACTCGAGCTTGGTTGCATCGGCAGAAAATTATCTTCGGTATCGCTCTCATCTAGATTTCCCGTCGACCATCCTCTGATTCCTTGCAAACCAGGAGCCTGAAACGTGTTCGATGGATGGATCTGGTGCTGCAAGTCCTCCTCCACCCTTTGATAATCTAAATTGGTCATAGGTTTTTCTATGTTTTTCTGTTTCACATTCAAACAACTAAAAAAAATAATTCATTAAAAAAAGTTCTAAGCTCTAAGATCGTAACACACGAACCTTGAATCTTGTGCATCGTTACTACTTAAACCGCTAATTAATTCCGCTAAAACGTACACTTGTCGAGGAGACATGAATAAACTTAATGCTCCAAGATTGATATCGATGGAAACCTCAGGACCTTCCATATCCTTACTTTTCTTCGTTCGCAGCCTGATTTCCTGCCTCCCTTCGAACTTTCCGAACGGAATCACGTGTCGATTCACGGCCATATACTCCTCGCTCAGACTTGATTTGGCCATCATTTCCGCCAATTTTTCATTCTTATCACAGAATTGCTTATATTTTTCGGAGAAAGTCTGGAATTCGCTCCCAAACTCTATCGTGCTTAACGTTACACCATCAAGGTTTAAATTATGTGTTGTGAACGATGTCTCCACGAAGCCTTTATTCTGCTCGGTGTCAGTGTCTTCCCCGGTCGTAGGATCATCACCGGCAGAGTCCGAATACTCAAAACTAAAACAAACATTGGCCTTAAGCTATTTACATTCATTACGTAACGCACGAAACTTACAGGTCTATATTAATACCCAAACCGACGCCGCTTAAACTATGCTTAGGAACATGCTCCAGTAGTATGACAGTGTTTACAAATTTCACTTTGATCCGACGCTTGACTGCAAATGCACAACAAAACAGAGTTAAATATATTTCAGTGAGAACATTGTAACATTATTACTGTAATCAACGACTTGGGAAAACACGTCGGCGCATTCAATCGGTCGTGAGTTATTCTCCGTCTCTGCATCCTTCTGCAGGCATTCCTGTGCTAGCTGCATTGAACTTGTCATCGAACTCCACATTGTTTCGAACATCGAAGCGACTATAACAATATAATAATATTAAAATAAGATAATTTTAACTACTAAAACTAAAATCGCACCATTCTCAGGCCTTTCATTTGGTTGGACTGTGAGGACAGTCCCGTGGACTTCGATTAACGTGGATTCTGAAAGTATTGAAGTCCATGGTACTGTAAAAGTTAATTTATCAATATGTCCATTGACGACTTGCACGGGCACATTGTACTTTTTCCCCTCCTCATTCAAAGCCTGTAACAAAAAAGAAAACGCATCTTGTAAGTTACAATAATTGGCAACTTTCCGAACCAAAGTCAAATAAATTTATTACTTTTACTATAAAACATTTGTACACAGCTTGGCACACTTCCTACTACAAAAAATAATACGCGAGGCTAACTGAACACATGTTGCAGGAAGAAATTATCTGAATTTACGCAAATTCTCGCCTACTATAATAATAACTAATTACAACTCATTCACTCATCGCGTAATTACAAAGTCCAAACATGTGACAAATAATACAATAAAACAACGTTTTATAAAAAAAAATAATTCAATACTGATCACCTATAAAAGTATTTTAGAATATAAATAGTTAATGCTTCACTGCCTTGAAATAATTTTAATAATTTCTATAAAGTCACCCTTTTTTATTCCTATTTATTACTAACTGTTCATTTAATTATTCCATGGAAAATATTATAAGTGTTACAGCAAAAATACATTCGTAACTCTTGACTGATTGCGTGTCTCATTATTGCAATAACAATTCCTCGATTCCTGTTTTAATCAAAGAAAGCATTACTTATTTCAATGATGTTTAATGACCTAATGAAAGCCTTGGATTCGCCCACCAGAATTCTGAATTACAAATTCGTTTAAATTTGAAAGCAGTTTTAGCTACATCTCAACTTACATTCAACACATACAATGAAATAAGTATCACTGTTATATTATATTTATTGGTGTTAAAGTAATCCAAAATAAATACAAAAAAAAATCAATAACGTAAATGATTGTAGTTTTTACAAGATTTTTTTTCCGATGTAACTGAAAAGCGGCTTATAGTATAATGGTTATGATATGAATAATCTGATACGAAAGATGACAAGTTCGAATCTCACCAATAATAAAATCCATTGTGGCCGTGAGAAGAAACAAAAAGATCTAAATACACTGCATAAACAATTTGTCGTGTCCCGGGTTTAAGAAATCCTTGGACACCGTGGATTATCTCGTAGTTACATCGTTGCGGAGTCTTAGAAGGGTTTATGAATATTAAATGCAATATTCTTAATTAACTTTATTGTATACATCGGAGTTTTTATTCTCTATTCGACCCCTTACCTAAGACTAAATTATATAATACATAAATGTGTTCATTTCCAAAAGGGGCTGTGTGGGAGGTAAGGAAATCAGTTTTGAGCTTGTGCAATATACAACCGTTTCTTTATCCAAGTTCTATGATCCTACCCAAATGTTTAGGGGCTGAAGAAGGCTGTTAAGTGGTGATGCAATAGACGCAACTATACGATTTAATGTGTAATCGTCGTTCGGAATATTACACAAGTTATTCTAAATAATCACGTACAAGTATCCGTTTGTATATTTGATGGATACGTTAAATATGATTTGTAATAATTAGGAGGCCCTAACAAATATACATATTAGTTATACAATAGATGACAATGTCGGCCACGACAAATTATTAAAAATTATGTAACTCAATTGATAATTTAGATAAACGCAAATGTAAAATATCAATAACACAGTCATCCTGGGCCACCCTAACCATAGGGATACTGGGCACGCCAATCTTTTGGGGCGTCAATTTTGCTTCGCCTCTCGTATATTTTCTTATTACGGGGGGCGCATTATTCTTAGCAGCCCACGAGCGCCCTCAAACCGTATATTTTCTTATGAAGAGGAGCGCAAAATATCTTAAGGCGGGTCGTTGTCCTCAACACAACATATATATAAAATAGAAAAACACAGGACTTCCCAGCATTAATTATTATCTAAATTCCACTTATTATTAGATACATCAACAAAGGTATCTAAAATATACACCTATTATTGAAATACGCATTGCAATCACAATGTTTATGTTTAACACATTAGTTCAGGGCCACGACCTGCTTCATCATATGATAAAATAAATGAATTTGAACGAAATTAATAACAATTATTAAAACGCAACCATTTTTTTAAAGCTCGCTTTAAAATATTGAATAATCTTTACATTCTTCTTTATATGTTAAAATCACACCCTTGAGAACGTTTGCTTAAGGTCAGATGATAGAAATTATGATTTTGTCCTTTTTTCTATCTTTACCAAAATAAATAAACTCAGTAATAATGTGTAAATAATAATATGTGTAAATGATGGCGATAAATAAAACCTGGAATGATAAGAGACAGGCATTTTTACGTAGGTAATATTTAGGAACTGACTGCGGATTCTCGACCTCAGATCAATAGAACGCATTTGTTGCGTAGCTAATAAGCTTAAACTAAAATATATTATTTTTTTATAGAAAATATTAAAGAAAAGTAATGACTTAACAAATGAAAATAATAGATTTAGTACAATTATACAATTAATTTTAAATTATAAAAAAAAAGATTCATTTTTACGTTAAACATTAGTTTTCATCACATTTTTAACGAAATGGAATGAAACAAAAAGCCTCGTTTAGCGCTTCCACAATTAACGCTCTCTAAATTTGACGAGCACTAAATGAGGTTTTTCTCTAACTAAAATAATGAAAGGAAAATTAATCGCTAAGGACAATTTTTGAGAATTTACAGAATTCCAGTAAATTCGCAACGCATTTGACTGAGTTGACCTTTTCTTGAAAATCATTGACACACATTAATACAATGCACAGTTGAAAGACCTCATGATTATTTTTTAGAAAATCTAAGAAAAACATATCTTTTTTATATTCTTAGTTTTATAAACTAAATAGCTATCAAATTACTAAACAAATAAGATGAGTGGAAGAAGTGAGTTTATTCCGTACTTTACATTATATATAATTATAAATCATTCCTTATATTCCATGTTATAGATTTAATATAGAAAATAAAATGTATATCTAATAAACAATTAACTACAAATCATTTTATTTTTTGTAATTAATATATTAAATAAAAAAAATAAATAAATATGTAGTCAATTTACTATAGATTTAATTGCAATAAATAGTTTTAAGAGTAGAAAATATAAATAATGTTGATTGTTATGACGAACTTTGAATTACTAAATGTAAATAAAAAATTGTAATAAAATATATTTCAATAAAGAAATACGATTATTTAGTTTTGCTATAACAAATAACAATCAAATGCCAATATTTCGTTTGTTACGACGTATTTGGAATACGTAGTGTGTGTATTAAATAAGCGGAATAAATTTGAATGAATTACTAATACGAAAACAAAACAATGATTCAGATGTAGACAAAAACAAAGACGAAGGAAAACCTTAATCAACGCAACGATTATTATCGTTAGGAACGGGTGAATTCCTGTGTAAGGAATTAACGGTGAAACTGTGAAAGAATCTTCCAACTTGCTGCTTGTTCAGAGTAAATACGTATGGAGAACAAAAATAAATCATCGAATGATTTATGGATGCGGACAGATGTAAACAAAGGACGTGGCTGTCAAGAGGTATTGCGAAATGCAATCGCAGAATCAAGTGTGTTCGAAAAACAAGTGCAGATAAAACAGTTGAATGCATCAATTCTTCGGAGACATTTAAAATTCGACGGAGACGAATATCGATCGGGCATGATGGTAAACAAACAAAGGCGATTGTTTTGGTGCCTGTTGCGAAATAGTCTGTGTAGTTAAAGAGCAGCGTTCGAGAGGGAGACGTAACGTAACTGTACGTTGAATAAGGAAGTGCATGTAACTACATCTATAACAGTGTATGTATATATATATATTGTTTGTAAATGATTAAACGCACGTGTCAATGTCATGCAAAAGAAAACGCGTGAAAATAACAATAACAATTGTAGACAATCGAAGGAGAGTAAATGATCTTGAAGTAAAAGCTTTAGAAAGTTGATTAGAGATAGTGGCGTAAACTCACCTTAATGTTCAGGCTGATATCTTCGACGGTGCCTGTGCCTGTTAAGATTTCCAGAGACAGCTGATTCCTGGTTATCTTCTTCTCGAAGTACTTTCCACAATATCTCTGCAGGATATATGCGCAGATATTCTGCTTTACGGAGTCCGAAATACCCACCATGATCTTGGACACCTTCGTCTGTCCTCACCTAACACTGAAGACCTTCCAATAACGAAAAATACTACAACCTATGCTCGCTATCCGACTATTCCTCCATGCAACCTTTTGTTTTCCTTTGCGCAGCAAACAAACACTGAATGTTTTGACAGAACTCAGCTGCTCGGATAGTGGGGCGACCAATAGCATCGTAACCATCCGCAGCGCCGCAGGCCCGCATTCTCGCCAACATTTAAAACGCAAATGTCACTGGAGATTCCCGATTCTTAGGCATCTTCCGATCACCTACTCGAGCTTAGCTCACACGCGAGATGATTAACTGTTAATTTAAACGCCAAACATTTTTTTTTTGCACATCGATCATTGATTCTGCTTTTGTTTTTGTTTACTTTTTACGATTCTGCCAACGATTCAAAACGATACAACAAAAGAAAAAAAATAATTTGAAACTGTTGCCAACTCACATGAGATCATTCAGTAGAAACAAATTTAAATTTATTGATATTTTTCTAATTATAGTAATTACTGTTCATTATTCACATCAAGAATTGATTATTTTTCTACTACTAAACGATTCAAAATAATCGTCACACATTACACAAACAAGTTCATTTATTTATTTATTTTACATTTATTTATATCAATTTATTTATTGATAGAAATCTCTTCCGGCCCTATTTCTACCCGTTTCGGGTTTAACAGCCACCACACATTTTTGTTGTTTTTTTGGGAATCGAACCAACGACCTATCGTATCAGATTTTCATGATACAGGCGATTTATTTAATTAAATCTTCATAATGTCATGTCTAATTCTTATATAATCATCCTGCATTAAATTAGTATTAGATTGGAACACTGCCAGACAATGTCATTACTTATGTAATTATTTTACATTAAAATAATATTTACGATTTAAGTATACATTTGATATTTATATAATTTAAAAAAATATCTTCTACTTCTAACGTTTATATTTTTATAAGTACAGTCAATCCTCCTATAACGCGGTGAGTGCGTACCGCGTTATATGGAAACCGCGCTATAAGAAACTCGGATTTAACCGTACAAACCAGGCTAATTCGTAGCGTGTTCTATGGAAACCGTCTACCGCGTTGTATGGAAACCGTGTTATGAGAGTATCGCGTTATAGGAGGGTTGACTGTATGAGAATAGAAACAAAAGCAATATAAATTCAAAAAAATTATTATTTCTTTCTACTTTGGTATATCTTTATTAACAATTGTACAAAATTTGTAGAATGTGACTTAAGCAGATATTATAAAAAAATGATAATGATAATTCAGTAATTTTTGTTAAATTTCTTAATTTTGTCGATGTGCTCTAAATGTTAGAATCTTGATATTAGAATCTATCGAATCTATTGCTATTTCATTATGTTTTAGTTGTAATAGATTTCTCTTTGTGTTTAGTTTTTTAGAAGGTTGTATTTATAAACGCATTTTATATCAATATTTAATATTATTTAAATAAACTTCTAATCAAATTTGTACTAAAATATATCTTAAAGACTTTATTTAACTTTTGCTTAAAGTTAACTTCTTAAATCATATACTTTGTATACAAACTGTATACTATATAGCAGGGGTGGCAGACGCACCTAAACTTTTTGGTATAATATTTTTTTTTAAATCTCAATCATAATATAAAATATATATAATATTTGTGTTTTGTTGTGGCTCAACTAGCCACAACAAGACTCTTGAAGAGCCGCATGTGGCTCGCGAGCCACAGTTTGGCCACCCCTGCTATATACTTTTATTAGTAATATATATATTTTTTTTAATAAAGAGATCAATTATTATTATTGATATAAATCTAATGCAAATGTTTGTTGGTTTTTGAGGATCGATCGTCTTTTCGTATCGTATTTTCGTGATAGAGGCGACTATAGCCATACGGCTACGGCCTCCCTTTAGTAATATTTAAAGATCTAATTAAGTTATAAGTGTGTACGCTTCTATATATTTAAATTTTAAATAAACTTTAGGGATTTTAATAATATTTGGTAATGCTGATCTCTCTGACAACGAACATAACCTGCAAATTTTAAATGCCAAGTAGTGGAAACACCTGCATGCTGCGGCTGTGAATAAATTTAACAATCCATATGGCTGAGGAAATATCCAAGACTATGGAGGAAGTAAAAGTAGTGGACAGCCCTGACGACGATTTCGTCGATCCATGGAACGTGCAAAGTAAATCGGACGCCGGAATTGATTATGCTAAGTTAATCAGTAAGTTTTCAATCACGAAAATTCTATGATTTTACTTAATGATATGCTTTTAGAACGCTTCGGAAGTAGTAAAATTGATCAGGAATTGATTGATCGCTTTGAAAGTATCACTGGAAAGAAGGTGCACCATTTCTTGAGGAGAGGAATCTTTTTCTCGCACAGAGATTTCCATACGATTTTAACTCAAGTGGAATCAAAGAAACCTTTTTATTTGTATACTGGTAGAGGACCATCCTCAAGTTCCATGCATGTGGGTCACTTGATTCCGTTCATCTTCTGCAAGTGGCTGCAGGAAGTTTTCGATGTTCCTTTAGTGATACAGCTGACTGATGATGAGAAAACCTTGTGGAAAGATATCAAGTTGGAGGATGCTAGGAAAATGGCTTATGAGAATGCTAAGGATATCATTGCAATTGGTTTCGATGTAAAGAAAACCTTTATTTTCTCTGACTTAGAATACATTGGGTTGGTTTAAATGAGTTTTATTGTAGTTTTTATTGTTAATTATTTATTTTTACAGAGAACGTCCAGAGTTTTATCGTAATATGATTAGGATACAAAAGTGCGTGACTTTCAATCAAGTGAAAGGCATCTTTGGGTTCGGTGATAGTGACGTCATCGGAAAAATCGCGTTTCCTGCAGTGCAGGCGACTCCGTGCTTATCCACCTCTTTCCCCGATATCTTCAAGGACAAGAAAATCCCCTGTCTGATTCCTTGCGCTATCGATCAAGATCCGTACTTCAGGATGACCAGAGACGTCGCCCCTAGGTTAGGCTTCAAGAAGCCAGCATTGCTTCACTCGATCTTCTTCCCAGCTCTGCAAGGGGCCAAGACGAAAATGTCCGCTTCCGATCCGAACTCCACCATCTATTTAACCGATACCGCTAAGCAACTGAAGAACAAAGTTAATAAACACGCCTTCTCCGGTGGACAGACCACCGTGGAGGAGCATAGGAAGTTGGGTGGAAACTGCGACGTTGATATAGCCTACCAGTATTTGACGTTCTTCTTGGAAGACGATGAGAAGCTCGAGGAAATTAGGAAGAATTACACCAGCGGTGAAATACTTACCGGTGAAATTAAGAAGATGCTCATCGATACGATCACGCCCATCGTGCAGGAACATCAGGAGAGACGGGCGAAGATCACCGATGAAGAATTGAAGATGTTCATGACTCCGCGCAAATTGAACTTCGATTGCTGAGTTTTACGGTTGTGGCATTTAGAGCAATAACATCTTAATTTTACTATTTATATTATTTATTTGAGTTTACTTTAATATTTTTGCATTTATTAGAGTTATCGATGGAAATAAATTGCTGCTCGCAAAAATTATACCAAAAAATTGTTTGAATTGTAAATTGTTTGCACATTTGAAAATAAATAATACAAAATTTTAAATTTTAACTTTCTTTTGTTGTCCTCTTCAATAAGTACACAAACTCTTAAATTATTACCGATATTTATTGAGAACTTTATACCTATCCAAAGTTTCCTTTTGTTCTCTTCTTCAAAGTAAAACTTAATTAATCTAATGACGCAAGTTCAGCTTGTTAGTGAACACTTGATAATATGGTTCCTATAATCCATTGTTAATTCGACCTAATAGATAAACTGAAGATTACTAATCTTTCAGAAGCTACTGTAGTTGATTAATTATCAATACTAATCCCGGTATCTTTATTTACTTAACCCATTTCTTAACATATTAATAATAAACACGGATGATAAATGTAATTCAAGACTGGAATGTTTATAAAAAAAACCGTAATTTTCATTAAAAATATTTGATATTAAATGAATACGTCCAAATTGAACTTTTATTAAACAAAATTTATTACAATCAAAGTTTTTACCTTCCTAATATCTAACAAAAACAAACCAGAAAAGCTAAATTTCTTATTTCAGTTTCAATTTTACTAGGTTTTTTAATTATACTTAAAAGAGAAAGTTTGTAGGAAAAAATATTTCTATAAATTGAGCTATAATAGCTAAAAATTGTGTCAGGAAATTTTGTGATTTATGAAGAACATGTGTTTTCCTAATATACATTGAGTAATATTATAAATTATGTTAATTAAATTATAAATTTTGTTAATTCAAAGTAGGATAGAAAGGATGAGATAAATCAGTGTAAAGGCATTTTGTTTAGATAAGAAATGTATTACTCGGCAGTCGATAAGTAAACGTAATTAGTGTTGGTTTATTCTCTTTTTTTTGTTGTTGTTTATAAGTGAAATATGAACAGAAAACAAGAAATATTACATTTACAACGAAGTTGTTACATTATATTAGCATTTTAAAATTTATACAAATACATATAGCTCCATAAACTAAAATCGAGTAAAATAATTAAACAGAAAAAAAAAATACAAAAATAACTAATATGAAGAAAATCTTTCAATTTTAGGTGGAGAAAATGTTAGTTTCCTCTGATATTCAATAAGAAACGATAAATAGGGTAAAGTGAATGATAAATGTATTTATATTATATATTTATATATATATATATATATATCTCTAACACGTAGTTATTTTTTATATTTATAATTCTGTTTTTCTTTTAATACGAATTAATTTCCCGTCTCTTCAATCATCATGTTTTAATCGGTGCATCCTTGATCAGACTTTGTTGTGCTTGCGTTATTATTCAATACACCATTTGATTGAATCGTCCATTTATCTTTTCTTCATCAAAACACACGGAAAACATAACAATTCTTTTCGCTAAATTTTTTTTTTGTTATTTGTATCATCAATCTTAAATATCATCTTAAGAACCTTATTAAGTGTATTTTAAGTTAATGTTGAGTAAAATCCAGACGATCTTTATTCCCTAATTACCTTATATATCATCTTATCTCCATTTTTTTTAAATTATTATTATTATTATTATTAAAAATTATTTACAGCAAAAATGAATGAAAATCCCAAAAAATCCACTTCCGTTTTAAATATGTCTCTCATCCGTTGTTTTTTTTTGTATTTATTTATTTTTATTTTTTTTGGCATCATATATAAAACAAGAATTTGAAATATTCAAGAAGTAGAACGTTATTATTATTATGTTTTTTTTTCTTTTAATTATATAATGTTGTTTTTTTTTTTGGTGATTTTTCTTCGTTTTTCATTACCTATTTTTATATACAGATTATATTTTTTTTCTTCTTTTAATTAATTTTTTGTTTATATATAATTTATATATAATATTTAGACGTGCAAATATCGAGAGAAATTTTAAGGTGATTTTTGCATTATTATTTTTGGTTTCTTTACGTTATACACAAATAGTCACTGAGGTCCCTTTTTTCCTTCTTCATCTTCATATTCTTCCGATGCGATAATCAGCACAATAGAGATTAGTTTCATTTCTTTCGCTTGCTGGGATGATGGGACTTGGGGGCTGAAAAAGAGAGGTCCTGTTTCCTTTCTTTTCTTGTTTTTTTTTTCTTTGTTTGTTCCCCTTCAAACGATCGATCTTCTTGCAGGTTTCTTCGGTATCGCATCGCTTCGAAGAAGACTGTCGTCTACGTGATGATGGTCTATCGTAAGGCGGCGGCGAGGCTCGCCGTCAGCAGGAGGAAGACCTGACTGGCTATGCACATTGCGCAGGACTTCCTCATGAGGATGGCGTCGACGTTGTCGCCTAGAAAGGGGCGCAATTAATGGAAACGTCGGATTTGGTTTAAATAATTAGACTCCAATTACCCCCACCTTCTGAGACGAAGACGTAGATGGAAGCCGGTTCGGTGTTGGAAGCTGAGCAAGTGTAATTGCCGGAATCCGCGTCGTTCGTGTCCTTGATGACCAGGCGACTCTGGGTCCTCAAACCGGGCACCGTCTCCACGGAAACTCCTCCTCTGGCCGTATCGTAATTTATCATGTGGTCATTGTGATACCAAAACACGTATTGCGGGGGCGTCGGGCTCTGCAAATTATTGTAAAACGGATTAGATGAATCGCCGCTCCAGGCATTATTTCAATTACACAACTTTGGTACTTCATTTCATAACTTTTTTTGCTGCATCCATCGGACATTATCATTTTAATGATGCACCACGCTGACTGTAGCGTGCATTATAACTTACGCAATTGTTTTCTACATCCTAACAATGAATAATATCAATTCATCTTCGCTTAGTTTGTTAACAGTTTCTTCTCTAACATTATTCATCATACTTTATAAACAAGTCTACAAAAACCGAATCTCATTAAAAGCTTCGTTAAGGAGCAAAAGTTGTGAAACTTTCAGGATGTGAATAGAAGAAAGATTTTAGTATTTATGGTATTAGCTAATATTTACTAATTACACTTTGCTGTCGAGAAAGAAGCGCAATTAGTGAAAATGTCAGATTTGGTATAGATCTAAATAATGTGTCTAAATTTATTTGTTTCAGTAATAATAGTAGTAAATCAATCTTAGCCTATTGATTATTAAAAAACAAATATAATCAGCAATTAAAATATCTTTAAGACTATGATAAAATACTTGTGAGACGTTGAAAACAGCGTGAAAAATTTGTGAATCACTTTTAGTATTTATGGTATTAGCTAAATTTACTAATTACACTTTGCTGTCGAGAAACAAGCGCAATTAGTGAAAATGTCAAATTTGGTATAGATCTAAATAATATGTCTAAATTTATTTGTTTCAGTAATAATAGTAGTAAATCAATCTTAGTCTCTTGATTATTAAAAAAAAATATAATCAGCAATTAAAATATCTTTAAGACTATGATAAAATACTTGTGAGACGTTTAAAACAGCGTGAAAAATTTGTGAATCACTTTTATTATTTATGGTATTAGCTAATATTTACTAATTACACTTTGTTTCTGTATTTGTTTCGTAATAAAGTAGTAAATCAATCTTAGCCTCTTGATTATTAAAAACAAAATATAATCAGCAATTAAAATATCTTTAAGACTATGATAAAATACTTGTGAGACGTTGAAAACAGCTTGAAAAATTTGTGAATCACTTTTAGTATTTATGGTATTAGCTAATATTTACTAATTACACTTTGCTGTCGAGAAAGAAGCGCAATTAGCGAAAATGTCAAATTTGTTCTAGATCTAAATAATGTGTCTAAATGTATTTGTTTCAGTAATAATAGTAGTGAATGAATCTTAGCCTCTTGATTATAAAAAAAAATATAATTAGCTATTAAAATATCTTTAAGACTATGATAAAACACTTGTGAGACGTTGAAAACAGCGTGAAAAATTTGTGAATCACTTTTAGTATTTATGGTATTAGCTAATATTTACTAATTACACTTTGCTGTCGAGAAAGAAGCGCAATTAGTGAAAATGTCAAATTTGGTATAGATCTAAATAATGTGTCTAAATGTATTTGTTTCAGTAATAATAGTAGTGAATCAATCTTAGCCTCTTGATTATAAAAAAAAAAAAAAAATTAGCTATTAAAATATCTTTAAGACTATGATAAAATACTTGTGAGACGTTGAAAACAGCGTGAAAAATTTGTGAAAACATGTTTCTTTGAACTTTATGGTTTATTGGATGCAGTCCAGACGAAGACGTAGAAGACTAAACTAAACTAAAATCACTTAAGACATCAATAGAAAAGCCGAACAAACAGATGTCGGTATTGGAATTGGTACGAAACTGCAGTAATTGTTGTGAAGTAACGGACATTTTTGTGGGGGTACCTGAAACAGATTTTCGAAGGGACGAACCATCCTGTCGGTCAAACTAAGTAATTTACTAAGACCCAACCATAAAAGTGTCTATACTTTCTTTGTTCGAATCTTTACAGTCGCGCCACGTGTTATTTTCTTAATGCATAGTCAAATAATGGTTGCAAAAAAAAGAAAGAAGGATTACGCTGTGACCTTTCTACCTGCAATAACAATTTTCCGTTTTGGACAACTGAGTAATGTAAATGGATAGTTTCGTTTTTGGTGTAATTCAATGTATGGTTGATTTTTTTTTTTGTAAATTCTGAAAGTTCTGAAGTTATTAGTGAAAAAGTGTTTTGCTGTCTGCTGCATAAAGAATTCAGGAGACCCGGAGCGTCGGAAGCGACAAGGAACAAATGGAATAATTGGATTAGTCGTTGTTCGTAAATGTGTGTGCTCGTATCTGGCAGAGCACAACTTACACAATTTACGGCACGACGCCGAAACAGAAATAAAGTGAATAAAAAAAATATAATATGATACTGGGACAAAACGAATATTGTAAAACCAGGACTGAATTAGCGTTTTTTTTTGTTTTGTTTGTGAAAAAGCGAGAATAGTTAGATTGTAAATTAAATACATGACATTCGGAATTTTTGCACATTTTATTCGTCCCCTATTTGCTGAACAACGAGAGCGAGAGAGAGAGTTTTTCAGTAATTATACAAAAGTTTGCGAGGCAGCAGCAGCTGGACGATCGAATTTTAAACTTTCCACATGGATCAACAACGAAAAACAATCTAGTATATTTGTAGTTCAACGTTTTCCAATAACTAATAAATTGGTTTCACCGCAATTGCGTTTGCATACAATTTCCGTGCTAAAAATGATTTGTGAAATTGAATAACGTTTGATTTATTATAATCTCGGGGTAATAGCTTCGAAATTGAAAAGGAGCGACGAAACATTGAAGAAAGAATAAAGAAGAAAAAAATGGGGGACGGAATGCGAGGATATTTATGTAGAAGAAAGGGAGAAAAAATACAAATTGGATGATAATAAGGGTTGGAATATTGGTTTCGGTCACGCGATTCTTCGTATTGGAAATATAATTCCAAAAGCAAACATCGACGAATTTTTTTTTTCAACTCCATTTTTTTTTTTGTTGCGAACGGATTGTTAATTTCGTTGTGTCCGTATTCGCTTCGGTCGTTAAACTCTGCAAGACGTAAACATTAAATCCGGAAGGCACTTAAATTGAAGGAGACACGCAAATTGGGGATTTTCCAATATGTACATTGTCGTTAACACGAGATGCACATTATTTTATTTTATATTTTCAATGTTTTTAACAAAGACATTTACTAATTAACTTTTCAATTTGTATACAAGTTATATAATAATACTCCCGTCATCCGAAAATATTGTATACATTTTAATACTTTTTTTTTGCGAAAAAATCAAATAAAACTAAAAATGAGTATAAGAAACTATTAAATTCATTTTATTATCACAATATAACTAAATACAAATAATTTTAGTGTAATCCAAATTTAGTTAAAGTGAGATTTAGCTTCTTCACGAAGAAGTTTTACTTTTTTCATATGAGTAATTTTATTTGAATTTCACATGTTAACATAATTGATTTTATACAAGTTTGTAATGATATAAAATCATTATCAAGATTATTTCTATCTAATTTATTAAATGCACCTTGAGCACATTCAATCAATTCATCAATTGTGTTAATTGTGTAGAGTTAAACCCAAATCGAGATCGTTTAAATCGGTGGTGGTTGTAATTTAAATTGAATATTCTTGAATTTTTCTTTGTTCTTCATATACTGTAATAGCTGTTGCAAGATACCATGACGATGTTCATTAGTCAATTGCTTCTTTTTGTAAATTCACGTTATTTTGGTTAAAATTTTCCATTTTGAAAATACAGCAGTGACTATTATATTTTTCCAAAAAAAAACTAATTTTTGGCCTTCAAATACCAACTTAACTCAAAAGTAATGACTTTCAAATATGTTAGATTATTTAGTGTTGCAAGATTTTCTTTCAAATTTTTTAGACAAAGGGAGTAATACATTATTATATGAATTTTATATACTTTAGTAAGCTAGACATTTTACAAAACTAACTAATTTTAAAAATTTCTGGATATTTTCAAATTTTGTTGCAATTTTAAACTTCATTTTGAGCATCATTTATATTACAATACAATTATGTCTTCAACTCAAAAAAAATATAAACAAAATAAAAAAACTTATAAAATTTAATTACAGCTATTTAGAAATATAAAAATTCTTAATTTTGTTAAGATTTATTTATTTGATTTGTTTTTATAGATTTAGGAAATCTAGATTTATTGTAGATATTTATATAATTATTATACTTAATTCACAGATGTCGCAACAATCATCATTTAATTTTAATTAATTATTGTATAGGAATAAATATTGAACAAAGCAATTCTTGTATATTGAATATTAGTATTTGTTAATTATATAAATTAATTGCAGTTGCTTAATAGTAAAGGAAGATGATTATATTATCATTTTTATATAACAAAGGTAAATCATAAAAGAATACTTAAGTTTTAAAGGAAAGAAATAAAATAATTTTTGTGACTGTTAATTAATAAATGTCTTTCATTCTATTCACAGATGTCGCAATTATATTTTTTCTTACTATAATTAATAATAAATATGTATAATGAGATCAAATATCTTCAAGTTTTCTTGTCTAATTACTTCAATTGAAAATACTTTTATGTTATAACTTAATTTCTTGTAAGTTATTATTTTTTTTGTTATCATATTACATTGGATGTTTCCTAACTGGATGCGAGTCGTGTCATGTAGCTGTGACCTAACGTGTAATGAAGGAGAGAATTTTGGCTTGGTTTTATTAAGAGATTCCTCCGCTGGATTTTTATTACAGACACACACATGCAGACACGTCGAAGCCCACGTTCCAGGGGTGTTAAATTACCGTTGTCCTGGTAACGACTACTGGGCGTTTAAGTCTACGTGTCGGGCATCTGCAATGTCCGCAAAAATTCTGAACCCTTCCGAACATATTGGAAATTTGACCGTACTCTAACATCAACACGAACACAAAGCAACAGAAAAAAAAACGAAAAGAAAAGGAAAATACAGGTAAACGGCCTTCATTCAAAATACAAAGAGATTTTGTTTCACGTTAGTCAAAAGCCACGTTTTCATTTGTGTACTAATTATTATACGTGACTTTAAAAATGAAGTAACAGCTGCAATTATCAAGTGTTATAAAATAGTTTGATGCACCTGACGTAGAGTGTGGATGCAATAGTTTAATCCGAAATGAGTGCTCTATTTCAATGAATAATAAAATAACCGTTAATTTTTTAAATGGGAAAACATATCAATATCGGCTCATACAATGGCACGTAAATTACGACCAGGTGAAGCTTTTTTTTTTATTGCATTTCCATTCGAAACGCAAATCCAATACATTTTAATAGTGCTTGTCGGTTGTTTGTTGTTCTACGGCAGATATTTTATTTTACGTTTTTTTTTAGTTGTAGTTGTTGTTGGGGTCCATGGCTATTTGATAATTTATTGAATTCAGCAATTTCCGGTCAGGGCGCAATTTGAAACGATTGCTCGTTTATTATTTCACAAATTTTCATAGTTGAACGCGCTCCGCCCACCCTCTGTGAACGAAAATCGATCGAAGTACATTTGAACTGCTGAAATATTATAATTAATTATTATTATAATCAGCAGTGCAATAAAAAGAAATATAGGAATGGTAGAAATGTGTACGTATTCTCCAATTATTGCGAAACGTCGACGATTAATTAGCGTTAATTGGGGGAACGATTTGCGACGGTTCGCGTATTAACAGAGTCATAGAGTGAAGAGGTGCACAGCGAAATGTCCATTTGACGGATAATCAAGTCGTTATGCAGGACAACAGGACACACAATATGTATGACCGACAATGCATCATTAGAGCGGACATCGATTACGGAATCATCATAATTGATGTAAGATACGGGATACCCGACCTCCGCCTCCTATTGACCCCGGAGCCTAAACGCATTACTATTAACTGCTTTACATAAACGCATTTAATCTACCGCATTATGTCACATATTCCATATTTAATCCGTACAACAAATATGTGATTTATGGCAACGCGTTAAACTGCAAACTATAGATGCGACTGATTTGATATGCGACTCCTTTTCACATCATAATTGATACAAAATATCATATTTAACACTCTTTCCTAAAAGAATAATGCTATTTGTCGAATATTTTTTGTATTCTATTGTATTCTAAAAGGTATTATATTAGAGAATGTACTTTTGTGTTTTATTTGAGCATTTCCATACATAGCTGTGGTTGTTGAGTAATTCAAGAAAACAAGAAGACGTTACATTCATTTTTTGAGAGCTTATTACAATAAAACGGTATTAACTACAAATCTGTAAATATACTAATTTGCTATACGATTCATTCTTTCATTATAATTAATATAAAATGTCATAATTAACACTAGTTTTAATTATGTTTCACTAGTTTACGTGAAAACATGAAGACTTTCCTTTTTTTAAACTTACACAACTTACTACATCTAAACGAAATTAGCTTAACTGGCAGAAAATTTATATCAGAGAATGTACTTTTGTGTTTAATTTGAGCTTTTCCATATACAGTCCTTCATGGTTGTTGAATAATTCAAGAAAATAAGAAGACGTTACATTGATTTTGAACCTTCTTTTTTTAAGTTTGAGAGCTTATTACAATGAAGCGGTATTAACTACAAATCTGAAAGTATACTAATATCATAATTAACACTTGTTTTAATTACGGTTCACTCAAAATTGTTATTGTAATTGTATATTGGAGAATGTACTTTTATGATCAATTTGACTATTCACATATACAGCTGCGTTGCTCTTGACTAATATGAGAAAACAAGAAGAAGCTGCATTTTTTTGAAGCATTCATTTTTAATAAACATTGATAGCTTGATTCATCAAAATGGTATTAATTACAAATTTGGTAGTATACTTATTTTAAAGCATGTACATTTTCCTTTAAT